TCTTGCACCCCTGGCACTGGCTCTGTTCTGCTAGTGCCTCCCTATCTTCCTGTTCCTTCTCTCTGTTTGTGGAGGGACCAGCCGTCCTTGGCCTCTCAGGGCTGGATTCAGGGAGGGCGCGTGCATTTTTGAGCAGAGGCGAATGAGTATTAAGTGATGCCTGATCCTTCTCAGTGTCAGGAGCCAAAAGAGCAGCTCTCAGCCAGCAGGCAGGTGCCTCCTGCTCTTCCCCCATGCACAGGCCGGGCATAGCTCAAGGGGTTGGATGATCAGAGGCCCAAGTTAGTACTGTGCTGGTCCAGCTTCAGCAGGCATGGAGCTCAAGTAGCCAAAAGGAGAGGCCATCAGTGAAGGGACAAGTGGCGTGGCCACCCCATAGAGCCAGTGTGCTCAAAGCCAAGTGCATTACCAGCACTTTGAAAAGAAGAGCAAGTAACTCACAGTGTGACAGTTGCTCCTGTGACTGTCCCTTTCTTGGTGTCCCTGTCAGCTGGGATCCTGTAATTGTCAGCAGAACACAAGGAGGCCCAGCTGCCATGTCACAACTACGGGGATACTGCCTTGCCCATCTGTGACCAGCAGAGCCCCTGAGGCTGAATGTAGAGAAAGGGGTGGAGCCCTGGAACACAAGGTCAGGGTGGCCAGTGGTTGTCTCTATTCTGTGGAGCCATAAGCAGGCAGCCAAGTGGAGAAACTTAGGGCTGAATTTGGAGGAGAAAGGAAGAGAGGATTTTGTGTGATCCACTCAGAAGTATGTGAGTCTTCCTCTGTGAAGTGGGGTATCTACAGAAGGGCTGTTGACAACATGAAGCCTCCACCTGGAGCCTGAGGACAGCCAGGCCAGGGCTGCATGCTCTGAAGTCAATTTGCTGGCAAAACCAGTTTACAGTCAAGGGATTAGTGAATTCCTGTGGCTGTTTCCCATGAAAAACATCATAAATTGTTATTGTGTTCATAATGACTAAAGTCATTCCAGTCTCTGCTGTGAGGTGATGTAACAAAATTTAGGCTGTTACTTACAAAAGGAGGTGATTTAGTAAAGGGACTTCTTAGTACTATATGAAAGTAGTCACTACTTGTTACATTGTAATACAGGGTGGCTTGTTACATTGTAGACATCCAAAGGAAAGTCTGTGTCTAGAGCTGACATGGCAGAGTCTGTGGCCATTTTCCATCGGCTCAGAACTCACAGTGGGTGAGTGTGAAGGCCATTTCATGGTGAGAAGATGGATGAGGCTTTGTCTGCTATGCTTCCTGCTTCATGAACAAGGTGAGGGTGGGACTGGAAGCTGAGCCTTCAGTCCACTTTCCCACCCCAGGTCCAAGCAGACTTGAAGATGAAAGTGGGCAGGAAACTCCAAAAGCAGCAGCTGCCTCATCTTGGAAGTCTCTGAGCTCACTAGGGTCCTGTTTGTAGCTGTGGGAGTGGGTGTCAGTTCAGCCCACTTTGGGCTCAAATGTTTTTCCATCTTCATAATGTACATGCTGGATGTTGTCCTCTTGTGGGTTTTGGCTGTGAAGAGCGAGTCTGTCTTCAAGCCTACTTCAATCAAGAGGTCACTGAAGGCCATCTAACCACAGGAGGCCAGGAAAGTGTCCCAAGTGACACGTGGAGGGGTCATCATGGGCTGGATCCTGCAACGGAGTCATTTGCCTGGTTCTGAACTGTGGCACCCTGGAGGAGGAGAAGTAGAGGAAGATTTTGAAAGACCCTGGGTCCATGTGGACTGGCTTTCATAATCACTGAGCCCTGGGATGGCGGTGCCCCATTACTCTTGGTCTTTGCCACATGGGCAGCAGTAGTAGGGGGGCAAAACCCCTTCCAGGCTAGTGAGGCCCTGGTGTCAGCATAGGGCAGAGGAGTGGGCACAGGGCTGCTGAAGTCTGTCCACAAATGGGATTTCTCAAGGACATCACTATGCCCTGTGTCCCCTTCACTTACCCTCATAGCCAGGGGCTATGTGGGTGATGATTGGTCAGTAAGAAGAGGCAACAACATGCAGCCAGGGCTCTGTGACTGGGAGCCAATTCATCAGAGCCTCCTGTCAGACCCCACCTGGACTACACCCCTATCCCTGATAAGGCTCCTTGGGAGGCACTTATGTCACATGAACCCCTCAGGTTACAAAACCCCAGTGCACAAGAAGGTGGTGGACAGGTGTGGGAGGAGCTGGTATGCTATCCACAAGGGACCCGCCCCCATCAGGGAAACCCTGCATCTTAGGACCACTCTGAGCCAGTGATGAGAGCAGGTCAGCTGGCCTCCCTGTACCCTCAATGGCTATTTCCTAGGTGCAAAGTAAAGTTAAGGTAAATGTCAGGTAACAGTGAGAGTCATGTTTTTAAATTGAGTTGGCTTCCATTTTGTTAAAAGTAACAAGCTGAGAGCATTGGTCTTTTTCCTCCCAGGGTGCTACTTTTCTATGATATCAATAAAATAAAGAATCCAGTGCTTGGTCCAATTTAGTGATAATTGACCTTGGCTACCCATTCCTTTACACACTCAACTGTCCATCCATCCATCCACCATCCATCCCTCTGCCTACATCTACCCATCATCCATCATCCATCTGTCCATCCTATTATCCATCCGTCCATCTACCCACCCATCCATCCATTATCCACTCATTCCTGCACTGCCCATCTGTCATTCATCTATGACATCTGTGTGTTCATCGGTGACCCCTAGGCTTCTTGGGGACAGTCAGCACCAGGGTCGGTGCCAGGCAGTTGACTATGGCATTTCTTCTCTTGCCATATCAGTTCACAGTGCTGCAGCCTGAGATTTCAGTGACTTTGCTATCTTTAGCTATTTGGGCAAAGCCCCATCCTAACCCTATGTTTACCTACCCCATTCTTGCTCCTCCTGGTCCAGAAGAAAGAGGGTCAGTAGGTATGTCAGGCAGTCCCTGATTCCAGTCTTAGCCTCCTGTCTTGTCCCTCTACCTTGGGGGTGAGCAGACCCCTGTGGGACTTGAGTGAGGTGCATGCACTGAGCAACTTACATTGCAGGTGGATGGTTACTGCAAAGAGCAAAGCAAAGGGCTTTGCTTTGGTCTGTCATGTCAGATGGAGCCTTACTGGCCACCCTCTCCTCACAGCGTTCCTGGACGTCAGGGCTTTCTCAGGACAATGAGGAGTGTCTTTTTCTTGGGAGGGTATGTAGCACTTTCAGGTGTGTTTGTCTGAACTCTGCTTTTAATCAGGGTTTAGCTATCCCTTCCCTGGAATGCCAGGCAGATTTGCACATGCTTTCTGCCCTGCCCACTCCCCAAACAGTCAAGCACAAGAATTAGATGCACTGCCTGGAGGCCTGAGAGCCCTTGGACTCCCACAGATCAGCCTTTTTGCAACAACAGAGCTCATTGTTAGAGTGTACATGGCCAATAAGGCTAGTCATGATTTGGAAATCAGAACTCACCTTCGGAAGTTGGGTAATGCAAAGACTTACATATACTTGGGTGTTTTCAATGTACTTCATTGTTTTCAGTTCTTTCTAATGTAGTTCTTGGATTAACCTAAGCAGGCACTTTTGCACCCATCCAAAATCCTTCATTTAAAACCAAAGCCTTCCCCTTGAGATGAGCCCCTGGTTGCTGATTGTGTGTTCCCCAGGAGAGGCAACCCCTGTTCCAGAGTTTACAACAATCATTTGGCCTTGCTTTCCTTTCCTATTCTAACAGTTTGCCACCTGTGACTAAGTGGAAGTGAGGGGCAGGCAGGCCAGTCAATCCTGAGGCCCAGACCTCACAAGCCTTGCCTCTCCTAGTGCCACCTGCCAACAGCTGCATAAATAGAAACACCCGCTTGCCCTGACCTTTGCCTTACTATAGAAAAGCAAGAATTCAAAGTATTGCATTTCTACTAGAACCTAACTTTCTAAACACACATGAGTGCATCTTTCAAAATGTCTGCAATTCCTGACAGCTTGCTCAGCAGCCCCTGTGGTGCCCCTGCCGGCTCGATGAACAAAAGCTGAGGTGTATGTGGGGCAGGGGGAGCAGGCATGTATGCAAAGCCTGCTCAGGAAGCCATAAGCACACCAGGGACTGGTGCAGGGAAAGGCCTCAACCTGTCATTCTGTAAGATGTCCAGAGCCTAAGGGCAGCTGGTGGTCCTTAGCCTTCCCAGCTTTGGTTATCTGGAGCAAATTCCACCATCGTCTTCACCCAGGTTTCCTCATCTGCCACAGTGGGGTTCGAAAGACCTTCCTGAGGGTGGGTGTGCAGACTTGGTAGAATGAGGCACCAAAGCCCATTGGCACCTGCACATCCACAAGCTGCTGCTCCTGGCTGTGGTCACCAAGTCTCAATTGGGGAGTTTTTGAGGCTGATGCAATGAACCCTAAGCTGCACACCTGAGCTTGCTTTAATCAGGTATGACCCTGGAGCTGTGGACTGTGGCAAAGGACTCTGAAGAGGTTACCAACTGGGCTCTGTGCTGGCTTATGTGGGCAGGTGGCTCTGGTATTCGACAGTCCACTGTGTGCATTCAAGGATGAACAAGACCCCCTGTGTATAGACTCACGCCTTGGTCAGCACATTTGTTTTACCAATATACTGAACTCAAACCGATGCCCCCAGGCATTAGACATAGGAAGTCCATGGATCAAGGGACCCTGTGTCGTGGCACTAAGACTGGGCATCCACCTGAGACATTCCCCATCTCCTAAGTAAGCCTTCCTCTGAGACACTCCAACAGCACCTCCTAAGTAGCTCCAGTGACTGATTTGCTTGTTTCTGAAGGTGATCACATGGTCACCGATGCGTTACAGAAGCCAGGTCAGCAGAAGCCACCTCTGGCTTTGGTTCCACACAGCATCTTGCTTCTTGGCAGTGGCTCTGTGTGCAGCATCTACTGGTGAAAGAGTAGCTGCCAGACAATCTCGCCTCCCTCAACCCTGCCCCACCAGGGTCCCTGTCTCCAAGGTTGATTAGCCAGCTGTGATGATGTTTGAGAAGCCTCAGACTGTGCCATTAAACTTTTCTCTCTTTCCACAGGACTATTTTTATCCACGATACCTAGGTAAGTTTTAAGTCTCTTGCTTTATCTTTGCTGATCATACAGGAGGACTTGCGGTTACATAGCAAGTTATTCCTTGGGGAAGATGGTGGGCTTGGAACTATCCAGAGCGTGCAGGTCAAAAACATGAATTTGGTGTTTTGCATCATAGTTTCATGCCCTATTGGCTGAATCTTGGTGCATTGCCATCACTTGCAGTGTCTTCTCAGCCTTGATTCCAGACTCCCCCACTGTTGGGAAAACGGTCAGCTTAGTGTCCTCAAAGTTGCTGATCTCAGGACTCTGTCCTTGTGAAATTATTGAGGACCCCAAAGACTCACGTAGGCTGTATTTATTGACATTTTCCACGTTATTAATTAAAATTGCAAACATTGTTTCTGTTTGGTTTGAAGAACAGGAATGCATAAGCAAACACAGCAATGAGGGTGAGGCATGGGGGTGGACTGGAGAGAGAGAGAAAAGTAAAATGGTATCCTAATCTTGGGGACCCCACATACTCCCTAACAGAAGCCCTGGGTCACCTCACAAGTGCATATTTAGTTAACACCACTCCAGAGTTCTTTGGATGCGTACTGTCTGGGAGAGAGAAATCCTGGCCCTTTTAACTTGTAATTTACATTAGGTACATTTATTGGCTTCTGTTCTCTCAGAGACACCTGCTGTGTGCCTGTATCTGGCAGCCAGCAAAGCAACTCATGTCTGGCCCTGGAAAGCCCAGGGACCTCATTCCTGGAGGTGACAGCTTTGAGTGCTGATGCAAAGGACACTCAGCCCATGAGTCTATCCTCACAGTACCTTATGTTATCTATGCCATCTTCCCACACGTGGACAAGTAACAGTGTCCTAATGAAGGACCAGATAGAGTGGCCAGTACCATTCACACAGTCATCCCTGAATGCACAGATCCAGGGTCCCTGCTAGGACACCCACGTGCAGCTGTGCCCAATACCTCAGAGGTAGGAGGGAGGCTTGGGAGCAGCTAGACTTTCAGATTAAGAGCAGTGTCTCATAACAGAAGCCACCTTAACACTAACAGTCAGCTCTGATCACAGTCAGAAGCTCTCTGAACATTTATCAGTGTTTTGTGTGATGGATGTGGGTGGCTCCAGCTCCCTCGATTCTGGGCACAGAGTTTTGCCATGCTTCTCCCTTGTCATCCTTGAGTGTTTCATACTTTGACATCCAGGCCACCTGGTCACTGGAGGATGGCAGCACCCAGGGGAAGAGAACCCATGTCCCCAGAGCCACCCAGCAACTGTTGGTGTGTGCTCTGATGCCTGGCCCACTTGGGGATGATAAGTGACAGTGCTCTCCATTTCTCTCTGCAGAGTGCATCAGTAAATATGGATCTCCATATACCAAAGACCCAGATTTCATCACATGCGTTCAGAGTAAGTGTCTCCTGTCTGTCTTGCTCCAGGACTGTGAGCTGGGTTGGCAGAGGCTCTTGAGTATTTCTATAGCAGCAAGGAGCTGTTGAGCCTTCCCACATCTGCTCTCTTCACACCAAATTGCTTTTTAAAAAAGTAAATTTTGGTTTTATATAGTAAGTAGTAAGTGCATGTGGTACAAGGCTATGAAGTAAATGCTCGTCCACCTCCAACTGTCCAGGCAGACCACTGTAGTACACAGTTCCTAGCTGCCTGTTTACACGTGAAAGTGCACATGGAGTCTTTCGTATACTGCTCACTCACTGCACTGTACCTCCTCAATCCTTTGTCTAATGGGATGTGCATTACCTGTCAGACTTCAGTCACCCTAACACTTGGTTCAGCCTGTGTATTTTGACTGACTTCAAGGTTTTTTCCAGTTTTTATTGTTCCAAACAAAACTACAGTGATACCTTGTGGCTGCTGACCCTCACACCTCCAGTAATCTGCAGAGTAGGTTCATAAGATGGGTCCGGAGTCATGCCTGTGCTCACTCTTCCCTTGGACAGAGGTTTCCTCCCTAGCTCAGGCATTCGTTTCCATGAGGAAAAGCCTTTGCTATTGTCATGGGATGTTGTTTTCAGGTTGGTCTAGCCCTTCCCTCTAAGTTTTTTTCTGGCTGTTTTGATGGTACTTCTTTCATTAGACCTAGTTTATTTGTGTATCTGAAGTGACTGACTTCTGTACATGCTCCTTACGGGCCTAGCTGATTGCTTCAGTTGCCATGTGAGATGTTTCAAATTACAATGATGCTGTACATTTTATGGATGGCCCTTGACTGCTCCTTTGGGGGCAGGTGGATTGGAACAGAACAGGATTGTTTCTGAGCTGACTAGAGAATAGGCCTTGGGCCATGTGCGTTCTCCAGCTGCCTCACCTGCCCCCTGCACAGGCTATGATGAAGCCCCTGTCCACAGTGCTGACTCCTGCCTGGCCGCTGCCCACCACGGGGCCCACCTGGAGCCACATGTGCTGGGCTGTTGCTGTCTGTACCCCTTGTGACTCTTGGCATGAAGAAGGAGCCCAGACGACTTGCTAGCTGCCTGTCAGACCTCCTCATACTGAACCCCAGGGAGATGCTGCCCCAGCCTGAGCCCAACAGGAGCCATCCAGGCTGCTGCCTTTCACTCCTTGGCTCCTTCGCTCCTTCATAGGTGGTCTTATTGGGTGTTGTGGGCACACGGCACTTCTTGAGTTCTTTGATAGTCTATCATTGTTACAGTTATAGCAGCAGCTCTTTAGACACCACTTCTGAGTTTGCTGGAGTCCAGATCCAGCCCCAGACAAGGCTTGGCCACTAGTTTGTCTTCCAGGAGCCCTGCAGCCAGTGGTGGTGCCAACATGGTGACAACAGTGACTGGAGCTGACGGGAAGGACACCAAGGACTGAGCATGGACTCTGCTTTCTGAATGCCAGGAAGAGCCTCAGTTTCCATTTCTTTCCTTTTTCATGGACCGTGCAGGGTTCTCTGCCTCTGTGTTTGCCCACCGTCACTGGCAACAGGTCCAGTGGGAATCCCTCTGGCCTGTGAGTCCCCAAGAAGGTTGCTCCCCACAGACTGCGTCAGGCAGTGGTTGAGAAGCCCGGCCATTGGGATTCTGCCCCTGGAGGAAAGAAGAGCCTGGGTAGACAGGGCATGCACCCGGGTCCTGACTTGCCACCTGGAGAGACAAGCTGTGGATGGTCACCCTAGCTACACACTGGTGCCAAGATAAACCATTATGTCCCCCCAGCAGACTTGCAGGCAGGCGCCCTCTGCTGTGTGTGCCCAGAGGGGTGGCTAAACGGACATCCTCAGGGCTGCAAGGTCTGTCCCTGCTCCTGCTTTTCTGGAATGTGTCAACCTCACTGCACAGAAGTTGGCTGGGCACCTGCTGAGGGTCAGATACTGGATGTGGTCTTTCCTTTTGTCCTGGAGATATCTAATAGGAAAGAAATGGCATGCATGGTGGTTCAGGTTCCTCTAGGGATGGAAGGACCGGTGTTGTGGCATCGCCTTGGTATAGGGGACACCCCAGTGGAAGATGTCACTGCCTCTTGGCCTTGGGATGGAGTTTTAAGGAGCAACAGTGCCATTCCAGGCAAATTCAAGGCCAAGTTAGCCAGCCCTTCATGCTAAATTTACAGGGGTGTACTTAAGAAATAACTTTAACCCTTTAAGCAAATGGTGGTTGAAATGCACACCACCATCCAGACTCCTTCCCACATGGGCCCTTTGGGGACTTGTGTGGTGTGGTATGGAGTGTCAAGGTATGAGCCACCTGCTCACCCAGTGTGTCTGTCTCCTCCCTCTCAGTTCTTGTGAGCTGGGCTTCACCCTGTCCCAAAGTGTCCTATGGCCTCAGTCCCTGAGTGCAGCCTGGCCAAGGTGGTATGTGAGGGAGGCCAAGGCCAGCAGTAGGGATGGGATCTGCCAGGCCACAGCAGCTGTGCATGGTGAAGAGCCCTGACCCCACTTCTCACTCCCTGGCACTTTGACCACCATGCAACCCCTGCATGCTTAAGGATAAACAGCGTTTACAGCAAACAACCAAAAACCATGGAACAGTGTCTCAAAACAACTTCAAGACTCATAAGCATTTTGTTGGCTGTAATTTGTGCAAAACCAGCAGACTTTGAGGCACACTGTGGAGAGGCCACAAAAAGAAGCCCACACATTGTGGAGTTTCTCTGAGAAGCCTGGACTTGTTGGCTCAGCCTACTGGCAAGCTTGGTGCCCAGCCCTGCCTGGCATGGTGCAGGTGGCACCTGCCAAAGTATGGGTTGGCCCCCAAACCCTGCATGAACTGAAGGAATGTAGCTTTGAGATCAGAGGCCCATTCCCTGCCTCCTGCCTGCCACTCTGGCACCTACCAGGTGGGCAGGAACCAGGTTTGTCCAGAGTTCAGATGTGAGAAAGAGGAGTCCACTTGTGGAGGAAAGACCGTACTCCAAACCTGGCACAAGTGCCCATTCCAGGAATGGAACACACATTGGTGTGGGTGGTCCTGACAGACCCATGGGGTCCTGCTAGAATGGCTCCCAGGGCAGACACACGGTACCCCTCAGGTCCTGCTGAGTTAGCCTGACCTGTTCCCCATGACCAAGGTGGAATGAATGGCCATCTTCAGTCCCCACAGGCAGTGGGCAGAGGAGACAGTCAGAGCCATCGGTTTGGTTGCCAGGAATCAGAGCTGTAGAGAACTGTGTGGTTCTTAAGGTTTGCCATGAAGAAATAATGGAGGAAACAGGTACCAGTCTCCCAGCTTCCTCCCAAGAGAAATAGCACCGTCTGCCACATGTCCTTGGTGGTGCAGTCTCAGGCTTTCATACACAGAAAGGAGAGTGGCCCAGCCAGTCCACAGCTTCTAGGTGGATGCTGGCCAAGGGGAGGATTGAGAGCTGGTGTGAGGATACTGTGAGCTGGTGTTGAGTGATGCAAGTGTGGCCAGGTCCCAGCCATGCTGGACCCAGGACTAGCCCAGCTGTGCCCTCTGCTGCAGGCCTCCTGTCACTTAGGCCTGATATTTGGGTAGCCAGTTGGCAGATGACCACAGACAACAGGAAAATGAGGCTGGTCACCTCTCCCCAAAAATCGAGCAGTCCAGGATCAGGGTTCTGGGTAAATTGTCTAGAGTCAGTTCCATTCCACATCCTCTAACAGTGAACACCAGCCTTCAGTGTTGAACTCTAGAGGGGGCAGATTTGCACCCAGGGAGGAGAAGGAAACAAGAGAACATTAAGGAATGAAATATTTAATACACTGTCTGTGTGATGGAACAGTAGCATACACGACAAGCCGGTCTGGACATAGCATCTGGTCAGGACAGAGACTGATCAGGGCCAGGAACTGGTTCTACTCATGCGTCTCCAGAACCCATGTCCCTGGGTATTCTGCACCTCCCCAGATGTCCCAGAGCCTCCCGAACTGTCATTGCCATGACTTGCTGCTGGCACACAGGAGCCGTCCCAGCTAGACAGTATGCAGACCTCCAGAAGAGAGCAGAGCCTGGGCCTGACCCTCTGCACACAGGCCCATGCCCTCATCTGCTCGGCCAGTGGCCTGTGAAAGGATTCTTTGAGCCCTGGCATAATAATAGCTCTTTCTGCAACTCCCCCAGAACTAGTAATGCACATGCAGCACTTTCCTGCCCCCACCCAAGGCACCATCCAGGCTCTGTCTGGAAGCCTCAGCTGTTGTGAGAGATGGTCCTTGAAGGGCAGCTATGTTGGAAGTCTCTTAACCCATAGGCCCTAAACCACAGGCTGAAGCTGTGCAGCTCAGCCATCTCCTGTGCCCTGCTTTGGTGGCCAATGCACACCTGACCTGAGGCCTTCATGCTGAGAGACCCATACACTGGGCCTGGGGGTCCCCCACCCTATGTGGGCTCCACTGAGGCCATGCCCTATGGAAGGAAGGCACCTGAGGCTGGTGGCTAAGGGCTCCAGTGGGCCTCAGCCTGTCCTGCTGCTTTGCCCTCTGTCTCTCCCCACCTGGCTAAATGGACAGCTGCTCTGGCTTTTCCTGGAACTGGCCCCAGGCCCTGGCCATCTCCACAGCCCTGAGATGGGGCCCTTGCTCCAAGCCAAGCCTGCCTCAGACCCCTCAGCACTGCTGAGGCCCCAGTAGAGGCTCTGACCAACATCCTCAGCTGTGCAAGGGGCTCTGGTACAGCTCTAATTTCTCCTTTGTGTCTTTCAACTCAGACCTGCCTGACCAGTGCACCCCAAACCCCTGCAGCAGGGAGGGAACCCAAGTCTGCCAAGACCTCATGGGCAACTTCTTCTGCCAGTGCAGAGCTGGCTGGGGAGGCCGGCTCTGTGACAAAGGTGAGACTGCAGCTTTACGATGCGGCTGGGGCTGCCATGCATCCCTGCTGTCTTCTTACCCTACCCTCCCCACTCTCCAACCCCACTGAGTCTGGCCCCTAAGGCCAACCTCAGCACTCCTCTGGGACTGCTGCCTTCAGGCTGCAGGTCTGGGGTGGGGACCCTATGCTATGTGAAAAGCCCCTGAGGTGCTGCTTATCTAGAGTTCCTAAAGAGACCTGGGGGAAGGTAGAGCTGCTCTTGGAACAGGGCTGGAGTGAAGGAAGTGCTACATAGGTCCAGCACCCTGACTAAGAGGGATACTCCCCTGACTCATCCGAGTGCAAGCTAGCAGCATAGTAAAGAGCCCTGCAGGAGAGAGGCCAGACGTTGGTGAGGCCCTTTACTCAGAGCAGTCTATGGTGCAGGCTGTGCCCTGCAAGTGGTCTGGGATGGGTCCATCTGCAGTACTGGGGCTCTGATCAGGCTCTGTGCGGATGCAATCTTTGGTGGGTAATGTCTGTCCTTGGACCCACTGGCCAGTGAGTCCCTTTTGGCCTCCACCCACTTCTGGGTGCACCTGGAGACCCTTGGAGTTGAGTCTGCAGCTCTCCCTGCCAATAGTGGCTCAGGTCTCCCCTTCAAGGTCCTCCCACCATCCCCTTGGCCCACTGCAAGGCCTGCAGAAGGGCAGTTGTGGGAGGAGCATGCTCAGGTAAGGGAGTGTGCCCCTCAGAACCTCACTCCGTCCTTGTGTCCAGATGTCAACGAGTGTGATCAACAGAATGGGGGCTGCAGCCAGGTCTGCCACAACAAGCCAGGCAGCTTCCACTGCACCTGCCACAGTGGCTTTGCACTAGCCCCCGACGGCAGGACCTGCCAAGGTAAGGCCCACCAGGCCCCACTGTCACCTCCTGTGCCTCTCTCTTCCTCTTCTCTCCAGTCCTTAGGAGAGGATGAACATCCTTTGGAGGCAGCCCAGCCCAGTAATGAGCTGCAGGGAGCTGCCCAGCACCACAGAACTGGGGTGGCTGCTCCAGCTAGTGGGGCCACACATGCTGACCCTGCTGGGCTCCTTCTAGCTTGTGGAGCCTGCAGAAAGCCTGTGAGGCCCTCAGGGCCCAGACCTGCAGGGAGACGTGCATCCCCTGTGCACCACCAATTTCTCTCAGACCCTCAGCTACTGGCTTCCTCCACTCTGCCCTCCATATTGCCTGTTCCCACTTCTGGAGAGTCCAGGGCTTCTCGGAGTCCAGAGGACACCCCAGAAGGCCACTTCAGAGATGCTCACCCCTGTTCCTGGTGTTGACATAGGATGTAGAGGAGTGGTATCCCACTGTCTGTGAGTGACTGTCTCCTGCCCCCCACAGTGCAGCAGCCTGTGTGTATAGCCCAGATGGATGCTGGGGGATGGGGACAGCACCAGAAGCTTGAGGACAGGGACAGCATCCCACTACCCACTTTGAGACACAGGTCCCATTTTCACCATGTTACAGCTCCAGCTCTGATGACCTAGAGCTCCTTCCCTGCCCAGCTGGTGTGGTTCCCATGGAAATGCATCCTCCTCACTCCTGGAGTGGAGCTCCCTCCCATCTCCACTCTGACCTTGGTCTTGGCCAAGGGACTGGGCCCCTGCACCTTGCTAAGTGGACCCCAAACAATGACATCTGCAGTGTCGGACACTATGCTTGCTAGGCTCACCACAGCCCTGGTGAAGGCATTGGCCCCTCCTCCTCCTCATCTCCACCCTCCTCTGTCTCTGGGCTGTCCTCACCCTGCTAGCCCCAGCAGCCAGCTGCAGAGATCCGCAGCTGTCCTGGGCCGATCTGTATAGCCCTGGCTGTCTGGCTTTCTCATAGATATAGATGAGTGTATAGACTCAGACGCCTGCGGGGAGGCACGCTGCAAGAATCTGCAGGGCTCCTACTCCTGCCTCTGTGACAAGGGCTACACGTACAGCAACCAGGAGAAGGCCTGCCGAGGTAACCTACTCCACAGCCACCCAGTTTACCTCCTCTTCTGCCCCAGAGCTTAGAGCCACACGTCACTGCCTAAGTGTGTGTTGCATTGGTGACAACCGTCGGCCCAGTGTTCTCGGAAGCCACTGTACATGCAGGAGGGCTGGGGAAGGCCAGGGCACCTTCCAGAGTTACCCTGTGTGTCCATGTCAAAGAGGACCCATTCTAACCTCCATAGTGGCTTCACCTACCTCTGCCCACACACACCTGCTCTCACATCTGAGTGCACACCTAAACACATGTGCGCATATATACATGTGAACATGCATGCACGTGCACACTCATGCCCACCCTTCTCCAGCCTACATAGACACACCAATGACTCTGAGCGCCTTTGGCCAACATGGGCTTCTCCCCAGCCCTGGACCCTTATGTGACACTGCCACACTCAGTGTGGGCCTGGAGGTCCTTTTGCTCACTGCAGAGGCCCATATGTCCTGAGAGCACTGAGGGACAATGTTCCCTCTATGTTACTCCTTTCTGGAAACTGACCCCTGCTGGGCAGCTATGGAGCCCCTGAGAGGACTCCCTAAGGGCTGAACAGCCAAAGTGAGAAGAAGATGGGGTGGTTCTGGCTCTGACCATTCCCCACAGCAACCAGAGTAGGGGGAAAAGGGGAATAGGCTACTGCCAGTCGGAGTCCCATCCTCATATGTCCGTAGCCCTTTGTTTCTCCATGGACAGCACAAGGCTGTTCATTCCTCCAGGAATGGGCAGAGCTGCAGTCTCAGCTCTCCTGTAGGGAGAAGTTTCAGACTTTGCACATTTCCCATGGTGGACAGAGCATGGTTTGGAGCAGTCTCCATGCCCACCACATGTTCCTTTGTCCAGCAGATGTGGACGAATGCCAGCAGGGACGCTGTGAGCAGACCTGTGTCAACACCCCTGGCAGCTACACCTGCCACTGTGACGGGCGTGGGGGGCTCAAGCTGTCTCCAGACATGGACACCTGTGAGGTGGGTGACCCTGGTGCCCACCAAGCGGCTGTTTGTGCATCACACAGGGCCCTATCTCAGTGCTTCAGCATGATGGGTTTATGGGGAAAAGCTTCCAAAAGTTCAGCTTTGGCTGAGGACTCTGGGATTCCCCAGAGTCACATAGTGAGGGTTCTGTGCTGTGGAGGTGTTTGGTTGTGTTGATGAAATCTCCATAGCAACGCCTGGCTCTTGGCTGGCCTTTGTGCAGACCAGAAGCGTGAGGTGTGCACACTGTGCAAAGCTCTTGCCTCTGCCACAATCTGGAGCAAGTGAGTTGCTGTGCAACACAGCATTTATCTAGTGCTCTCAGAGGGCCACAGGTACCCAGCATCTGTGCTTACCCCCCTCCCCCCGACACACTCACCTGGGGCCCTGGGTCAGGCCCAAGGAACTGCATAGCAATGAGGGTTGCAAGTGTTTTATCTCATGAACAGGGCGATTCAGATAACCAGACCGCAGTGACTTCGGGGTGCAGGGCAGGACACAGCAGTGGTGTTCCCAATTCTGGGTCAGGAGTCCAGGGCATCTGGCAGCTCTGCCTCAACCTCCCCTTGTGTGGGCTGGTGTCCTCCCAAGGCTGCAGGGCAAGGGCCACTGCACCTCCACAGCCCTTTGTCCAGCTCCTAACTAGCCAGTGTGGGCAGAGCTGGACCCCTCAACCTTAGGTCTCTGTCAGCTCCATCGGCTTTGATCCTGTCCTACAGGACAGCAGGGGAAGCTGGCGTAGATGACACTCTAGAAACAGTTCTGTAGGCCTTTGTGTTCTGTTCAGTTGGTAATATCACATATGTGATTATTTTTAATGAGCCCCCTACTTTTTCCTGGGTTTGAAGCACTTAATAACTTAAAACAAGCAAACCAGAATTGGTGAGGAGGCAAGGGAAGGCCACAGAGCAGCTCTGTAGGCTGTGCAGACGGTGACCATGGTATGCCAGCTCTCTGCCTGGAGGCCTGATTGATGTGTGCCTTGGACTGTACCAGATGCTGGGATTTCAAGAATGAGTGGAGTCCTTGAGGTTAGACGAGAGTCTGCCAAGGGGCACCTTAGCTAATGTGCCTGCCTGTCCTGTGGCAGGACATCTTGCCGTGTGTGCCCTTCAGCATGGCCAAGAGCATGAAGTCCTTGTACCTGGGCCGCATCTTCAGCGGGACACCTGTGATCAGACTACGCTTCAAGAGGCTGCAACCTACCAGGTGAGAGAGAAGGCAGATCACAAGACAGTAAAACCCAGTTAGGCCCCGCAGCTCTGTGAGTCCAGGGCCATCCGGGCCTGGGCACACAACAGCTGCCCCATAGACAAGTGCCCATGTTCTGGAAAGAATTGTGGGGCTGAGGGCTCACTTGAGCCTGTGGTTAGCCAATGCCCTGTGCTGGGCAGCTTGTGCCACCTGACCTGCATTCAACTGCAGTCTATTTCTGTTCTCAGGCTGGTGGCTGAGTTTGACTTCCGAACCTTTGACCCAGAAGGGATCCTCCTCTTTGCTGGAGGCCATTTGGAAAGCACCTGGGTCGTCCTGGGTCTGCGGGCCGGGAGGCTGGAGCTGCAACTGCGTTACAATGGTGTGGGCCGCGTCACCAGCAGTGGGCCGGTCATCAATCATGGCATGTGGCAGACGGTGAGTGTGGTACCCAGGGCTGTCTCTGAGCTGGGTCTGGCATTAACTCTGTTACTTGACAGTGGACACGACTCTGGGCTTGACACTGGGGGTCCATGAGCAGGACACGAAGCCCCAGTTAGTTTACACCCTCGAGGCTCAGTGTGGGCTGCTGATTTACTTCATCAGAGACAAAATGTGGTTCCACAAAGGAGTGAGAGCACAGTGGTATCTGCCTAGAGGACATAAGGACAGCTGTGAACGGGGATGAGGCCCGAGGGCTGCAGGATATCCACGAGGCTGCAAGTCTTCTGACTAGCACAGGTGCTGCCCTGGGGCTTTGGCCTCTGTGACCGCCAGGCTACATGGGCCTCCAGAGGACACAGACACCTTCTGGCCAGATAGCAGCTCCTTGACCTTGGACTCATATCCCACATCTCAGGCCATGAACAAAACAGTCTGTAGTGAAACAGGCTTGGAAATCCACGTGTGGAAGAGAAACAGAAAGATGTGGTCTTTCCCTTAGCAGTGAAGACAAAAATGGAAAAACCTGCACTGAGCCTTGCCGGCAAGCATCTATCACATCCCCAGCCAACCAAGTCCCATCAGTGCCTCTTCCTACCTTAGAGGGACCAGAGTCTCTGTGACTGGAGTACATCCCCAGCAAGTCGCAGAGGCATAAATGGGGAATGAGGCCAGGGACTGTGGTCCCAGGCAGAATTGCTAGTCAGGAGCAGCAGCTGTGATGGGTCCTGCATGGGAGACTATGTCCTGATGCCCGGCCAGTGGCTCAGGAACAAGGCAGCCCATGAGGACCAATCCCTCCCTTTCCACAGCACTGCCCACCACGCACCACCAACTGGATCAGACCCAGGCACCTGGTGTGTCTCTGCCTTAGCCCAAAAGGAAACTGTCGCTGCTCTGGAGACTGGAGAGGTGTCCCATGTGTAGAGTCTCAGGTGTCAAAGTCCCCTACATGGAATGTTTCTGAGGAATTTGTTCATTCAGCATTTGTCTGTGCCAGACACTGAATTAACTGTTAGAAATGTAGAAATAAATGTTCTCCTGCCTTCAGCCACTCGTAGCTGAGGGGTGGAGACCAGGGCACTGGTGTGGAGGGTAATGTCAAGCAGCTCCACAGCTGGAGCTGAGAGTGGGGCCCCGAGATGCCAAGACAGCAAAAGTGACTCCAAGTGAGCGCTGGGCTAAGTGTGGGTGGAGGAGGCAGCACTGTGAGGGGCATGAGGGCCAGAAGCCACTCTCAGACTATGAGGGGGCAGGGAGGTTGAGGTGGAGAGAGGTGGACCATGGAGGTGTAAGATGTGTGGGCCACAAACGTGGGGGTGGTGTGGACCTTGGAGTTGGGAGGTTGTATGGGCCACTGCGGTGTGAGGTGGTGTGGGCCACAGAGGCAGGGGCAGTGTGAGCCAGAGGTGGGAGTGGCATGGGTGATGTAGGTGTGAGATCCTGAAGGCACACAAATGGGAAGTTGAGGGTGAGCTGGTGTTCTAGGCCTGGGGTGAACTGAGGGATTTGGGGGTTTCTCCTATGGAAGGTGGGAAGCCAGTGAAGGCTATGGGGAGGTGAGGTGGGAAGCCAGTGAAGGCTATGGGGAGGTGAGGGAGTCGTGTGGACTCTTCTCATGTGAGGACATTATGTGTGGACTCTTCTCATGTGAGGACATTATGTGTGGACTATGGTAGGCTCCTGGCTGCAGTCAGCCCTGCCAGCCAGGTGGGTCACTTGTCTGGGTGGACAGGCTGGGCTTCATCTCTGTCCTGGTTGAGAAGGTTAACTAACCCTCTCTAGAGCCACAGTTTCTCTGCACACAGTGGAGACCACACCTTCAAAAGGCAACTGTGAGAAATAAACTGCACCTTGGCACCCAGCACAGGACACCACACATGCTGAGACCGCCTCGTACCCAGCAGTAACAGCCTTGGCCTCAGTAGGGATGGGTTGGGAGGGTCTTCCAGATCAGGGCAGGGGCTCAAAGGTTGCATCATGGGATTCCAGGGATGGCTGCACAACACACCGAGGGACAGTGGTACCCACCAGTGGGTGCCAGCTCTGCATTGGCTCAATGAGGTACCCTAGTACTGTGTTTCTTCTCATCCTTGACTTGCTCCTTCTGCTGGCAGCAAAGGACCCATTGTCATCACAGACTAGACCAGCCCAGGCCCTGCAGTGCACAGACCATGCAGGTCGCACAGACCTCATCCAGGGCAGGCCAGCATACCCAGTGCTCTGAGATCTCAGGAAGACACTGTCCTTGTGAGGGCATCAGGGCAGCTTCAGAAAGGGGAATGCATGTAGGGACGGTCGGAATGCAGCCAGAGAAGAGGAGGGGATTCTGGACTCCATAGAGAAAGGGTCAGCAAAACCTGGGGAGTGGGGCAGGGGGCAGTGAAGCCAGGCCATGTGGGCCAAGAGCCAGGCAAGGACTTGGCCCTGCTGCTCCTGGGGACGCCTGGGTGACAAGGAACAGTGCTATGTGCTGGCGAGAGGGCAGAAACAACAGAGTTTATCAGCCTTATGTGGGTCTGCTCTAGCCTTGAGTCAGCTGAAGGGCCACAAACAAACCCTGAGTGGACAGTGGTGGTCCAGGTGTTAACTGCCCCAGGGTCCAGCAGAGCAGGAAAGCACACTCACAATTGCACTTGCTGGGGTCAAAACTGAGAAAAAATTGGTCTGTTCAGGGATTTGTAGCTTGGTGAGAAATCTATAAATAAAAGCAAAGGCTGTAGGCCCCTCCGCGGTGGGAGCTGGGGAGAGCATGTGGGGGTCGGGGTGTGGCTGTTAGTGTTGTAAAAGTCCTCTGAGCCATATGTTTGCATGCTATGGACGTCTCTGTGTTTGTGCAGTAAGAAGGGTTTGAACATGGAGCTGGCCTTAGGGCTCAGTCTGGCTTATGGCTTGGCACTTGGCGGGGGGCAGGTTCCACCCTGTGGTCTACAGTTCCCCACACAGCCACACCTATTCTGCAGGATGGCTCCTCCCAGTCTACAATGTCCAGAGTCACAGATGCTGAGAACAACTACTCAGAAGAGGGAGAATGAGCAGGTCTCCCATGTCGCTTTTCTGAAGATGTGTGGATTGGATGAGACATGCCGGGGCCTGACTGTGGGCAGCCCTGATCTCTCTATCTACAGCCCACACTGGCTCATGGGTTCTTATACTGACAGAAGTGGCAATGAAACCTTTCTATGGAGGTCCTGTGTAACAATCTTATTTTCCCAAATGTGCTGGGAGATCAGCTCTTCAGATTGGAGGGACCATGACTCCTTTTTCACAGCCCTGGCTAAGAGCTCACAAGGACAGGCACAGTGGTGGCAGCAAGGCCTCCTGCACACAGCATGGCAGGCAGGAGTAGGGACAGATGTACTGGCCCAGGTGGGAGTGAGCATGGCCTCATGGGATTAGGCACCTCTTGGACACAGATAACTGTAGCTGTGGCCTGCCTGAGGTTGGGTGCCTCCTGGCCCAAGTGTCATGGGCCTGACATCCACAGGTCAGAAGGAGAGGATACCTCTCCTGCCTGTCCTAACAGCACTGACCTCCTTCAGATCTCTATTGAGGAGTTGGAACGGAATCTGGTGATCAAAGTCAACAAGGATGCAGTCATGAAGATCGCGGTGGCTGGGGAGCTGTTTCAGCAGGACAGGGGCCTATATCACCTGAACCTCACCGTGGGAGGTGTTCCCTTCAAGGAGAAGGACCTTGTCCAGCCTGTAAGTACCGTCCCTGACTGCAGGGGCAGCACATGGTGCACTCACTCAACGTGCTGGAAGAAGTCTGGCTCTGAGCCACCTGGTCCTCCCCATTGCCCAAGTCTGGCAGTGGACCTGAGGAGGGCAGAGCATTCCCAGGCATCACCATCTCACCATCTCTTCTTATGAGGCCTACTTGAGTTTTCATCCAAATTGATAATGAAAATGTCTTATTTTTAACAAAAAGAATACTGAACTTTTTGGATTATTCTCAAGAACATGTTGGGTTGTTAGCCCTGCCAGGATTTCTATAGGGGAAAAAGCTGTTATGAGAGACAGCATTAGTCATTTTCCAAAGTTCTGCCTTTCCCTGTCTCTCTCCGCCCCTCACACCTTTGCACCTTGGTCTCTGTCTCCCAGTTCACTGGTGTCAGTGGCCAGAACCCATGGTTTGGGGATTGCAGTGTCCACACCAGATAGAAAATAGGCTTGGATAGAATAAGTCTGAAGGTCAGCACTCAGGAGGGCTGAAGGGGGTGTCCTGGGCACAGCGTGAAGCCAGGTCACCTTCATAGTCCCTCATGCGACTCATGTGGCCTGACTTGCTCACAGCCGCATAGTGAGTTTGTGGCTGAGTTGGAACTGGCATCCCCAGAGCCTGACCAGCTTTTTCAGCTGTGCTTCCCAGGCGCCAGGAGAGGGGCAGACACAGCCACTGTAAAGTGCCACTCCCAACATGTGCAGGCAGGTGGCAACCGTCCTTCACCTCTGCCTTTCAGCAGGGAGACCAGACACAGATGAAGTAGGCAGGCTGCCCCTAATGCATGTTGTCCTGTGTGGATATAGCCATTGGCAAAAGTGAAGAACCCTTTTATGAAATAACCACAAGAGGATTTACCCAATTTGCTGTAGATTTCCCATGCCTAAGTCAGGAGGGCATCACCCAGCAGGTCGGGTAGCACCAGGCACGTAGCCTTCTCCTCGAGTCTGGTTTCCAGGACTTACACGTCTTTCCAGATTAACCCTCGTCTGGATGGCTGCATGAGGAGCTGGAACTGGCTGAACGGGGAGGACGGCACCATCCAAGAAACGGTGAAGGCGAACACGAAGATGCAGTGTTTCTCCCTGACGGAGAAAGGGTCCTTCTTCCCAGGGAACGGGTTTGCCTTCTACAGCCTTGGCTACAGTAAGTGGGTCTGGCCCTCCCATCTGGGCAGCTGTAGTAGGACTTCCAGCCAGCTACATGGTGAAACTCGAGTAGCCAGGCAGGCAAACAGCTCCTCTCTCCATGACTGTTGGAGACAAACTGGCGTCCCCCCCAGGATCAGGGCCTCATCGTGAGGCCCAGGTCCCAGCGTGGCCACTGGCTCTCCCTGTAGAGTTAGCCAGGGAGGAGGACACAATGGTCAGAAAGGGGCAGGCTGATAGGCTGAGAAGGTCTCAGGTCTGTGGCAGGAAGTCTGAGACAGGACAAGCTTGGCTGTGTCCGAGCCGACGGATCAACTCTCGAAAGTGCATCTCACCTGCATTTGGCAGGTGAGAGGAAGGCTGGCTTTTCGCCTCGGCCAACCAGCCTGCAGAGGGGACAGGGCTGAGTGCAAGTCTGCACAGACCTCGATTCACCTCACTGCACCACACAGCTCCTTGCACTTTGGAGCTCTTTGCAAGGCAGAGACTTAAAAACCAAGGGAGCAAGGTCTCCTAGGCTTCCTGGGATTTAAACATGGGGAAGAGTAGGGGAGAGCCAGAATCTGCCTGTCTGCCAAAGCGCATTGTGTGCGATGCAGATGGGTTGTGTGACCCAGCTGCACTGTGTGTACAGAAGCACCCGACTAGGCTCTAGAGCCATAAACCAAGCTGCCTGCCTAGGGACCTGCTGGAGGAATGAGTTCACAGGCTCGGCTCGCATGGGCTTCTGAGCTCTCAGTGAAATTCCCCCTAGCAGAACTGCCTGGAGGTGGACAGGAGCAGCATGGGTGGATGACAGCCTGCAACATACACGATTTGTGAACTCTTGAACGGTGTAGACAGGCAAAATCTGGGAGGAAGGTGGGTAGTGATCCTCACGCCAGCCTGTGCCCTGTGCCCCCCTCCGTCAAGTCTGTAGCCTGGGAGTCACTTATAGGATGCTGGGAAGTAGGGTGCTGGCCTGGCCAGTGGAAGCAGCCATCCTCAGGTACCCCAGTGTCCTGGAGTGGGCAGCCTGGGCCCAGCACTGGCAATCCCATCTCCCCCTGGCTGTGGGCTGTCTGCAGAGATGCTAGGTCCTATAGACTCAGTGCTGTCATGGTGTACCCCCCACTTGCCTTCTTGCCTGCCAGGCGGTGCCTCTGCTGCCAGGAGCAGGTGCGTGGAGCTGTCCCTCGGGGACCCTCTGCTTGTCTGCCCACCACTCACTCTGTCCTCTGCACCATTTGCACTGCCTTGTAATGTGCCGCTCTCATTGCAGCTCGGACATCCCCAGACATCGGGACAGAAACCACCTGGGAAGTACAAGTTGTGGCTCGGATCCGCCCTGCCACCGACACAGGGGTGCTGTTCGCACTGGTGGCCGATGACCATACCGTACCCCTCTCTGTGGCCCTGGTTGACTACCACTCCACAAAGAAGCTCAAGAAGCAGGTAGGGCTGTGATGAGTGGAGCCTCGGCATCCACACCCACTGGTACTGGGGTACCAGTCAGTGAGAGCTGTCCTAGCTGTGCTCTCGAAAGTCGAGTTACCTGGTGTTCCCAGCCCAGAGCCTCCACCCAAGTGTACACACCTGGCATGTGCCCTCTGGCTGACATGTCACTACTGTGAGGCAAGCTGCTGGCTGAAGTGGCTAGTGGCACAGCCAGGGTTTGAAACCAGCAGACTGCACAGGAACTTCTGCTGGCCAGTGGGCACGGGCATCCCCTACACAGTGGTCAGCACAGTGCTCAGAATGGTCAACTAGCTTCTCATATGTAAGCTCAGAGTGTCACTAGCAAATGCAGATTTCCTGTTTCTCTCAAAGTCAGGCCTGCAACCTGGCCTTGCCATCCAGTGGCTTCTTCTCTTGACCACACCAGGCAAAGCCCTGGGTTCAGCTGCCCCTTGAGCACAACCATCCTCCCACACAGTCCCCACCATGCCCAGTAGCTTCCCATGTCAGGTGGACGATCTCGAGTCACTGACTCCCATTGTTTCCTCGTGGAACTAGGTCTTCCTCCCCTACCTCTATCCCAAGGAAAAGAACGTGGGTCAAAGCAGAAGTCCCTCTCCCTGAGTCTGCCTGCCTGGCTTCTGGCTACTTTTGCCAGACTCAGTGTGCATGGATTCTTGCCACCCAGGGGGCCAGGCCACGTGCTCTTGGCTTCCAAACCCACCCCTATCATGTGGAATAAAACAACCAAGCCTAGGCCACCCATGCCCGGGGACAGCAAGGGGCAGAGGGTGAGATGTGTCCTTCATCATATCATCAATATACCTAAGCCTCTAGTGGAGCCAGTTCAGGCCAGTGAGTCCCTTAGGGTGGGTAGGGGTGGCCCAAGTCCCCCCAGTTGGGGGCTTTGCTGTACCATCTCCTTCTGTCACCTTCCAACTGCCCCCAGGGCTGCTGGGCCCCTTCAAACCCAGGGCCACAGGGATACCCTACCCTCCAAGAAGGATGGAGGCATCCACAGGCCTGTGATGACCAGAGCTGGCAGGACGCAGGGCACACTGACCCCTGCACCTGTGTTCCCAACCCCTACAGCTGGTTGTCCTGGCAGTTGAGGACATTGCCCTGGGCCTGATGGAGATCAAAGTGTGTGATGGTCAAGAGCATTCGGTCACTGTCTCCCTGAGGGAGGGCGAAGCCACCCTGGAGGTGGACGGCACCAAGGGTCAGCGTGAAGTCAGTGCTGCCCTGCTGCAAGAGAGGCTGGCCACGCTCAAGGCACACCTGCAGGGCTCCATGCTCACCTTCATCGGGGGCCTGCCAGGTAGGGGTTCAATGTGCTGGTCTCCAGGGTGGGCTTCCCCTGTGCTGATGGGGCCAACTTGCTTTCCACATCAGCTCTGATGGAGGTTACAGAAGAGGATGGGTTAGAAGAAGAGGAGGCAGGTTTATTCCCTGGCCTCTGAGCTGCCCCAGAATTTGTGAGCACTGGTGTAGCATCTATCCTGATTCTGAGAAGACTGGACACAGTGGGCTGAGTCAGCCTTTCCCTCCCTATGCCTCTGCAGAAGTCATTGAGAGCTGGTCAGAAGCAAGTCAAGTTCTTCTTGAGGTCACTTGTCTGTTATCAGCTGACACTGACAGGGGCCACTGGCCATTCCTATGCCCAGCAGGGGACCCAGCAGCAACCCACTCACTCACACAGACCCAGTGTGGGACTGGGATAAAATTAAACTAAGGATGTCCCTACTTGTGACCCTGAGCCGAGGGTACAGGCGAGAACCCAAGTCCTCCCACTGTTAGCTGATCTTTAGTTGTGACTTATAACAGAATATCTGTCCTGGTGACCAGACAGGCTCCATTGTTTTAATCACCAAAGCTTGGAGGAGAATGAGAAAGCTGGAAGCTCTGTAGTATGGGCATCTCCCAGCCTGGGGGGGAGGGTTGAGAAGATGCCCTTTAATGGATTGGCCTGATGCATGCACACTCCTTGGGATGTCCACCAGAACCGGGCAGTGGGTGGAGGAGCAAACACTTCATGCCCAGGTTCAGGTCTGCCTCCAGAGAGGGACACTAACCTGAGGAAGACAGGGCACAAACGCCCCACAGGGAGCACAGGGCTGGCCACAAGGGACATGGAAGTGGTCGACAGGTGCTCCCTGGTCCAGCTCAGCTGGACTTGTCACACAGGGTTTGTTCTCCCACTGCCCAGATGTGCCGGTGACTTCCACACCCGTCACGGCGTTCTACCGTGGCTGCCTGACACTGGAGGTCAACGGGAAGCTTTTGGACCTGGATGAGGCTGAGTACAAGCACAGTGACATCACCTCACACTCCTGCCCACCCGTGGAGTACACCACTCCCTAGACTTGCTGCCCCAGGACCTAAAAGCAAGAGGCCCACATGCTCCCCTCCAGGGAGAAGGAAGGGAGAGGTGGGCGCCTTGCCCCAACACTGGCGTGGGCCAGGCCACCTGACTTTGCCAGCTGCTTTCCTTTGAGATCTTTCTTTGCCTTGTAACATATCTGTACATAGTGGGACTGGTATTGGAGGTCAGAGGCCACACGACTGGTCACTCAGCCTGTGAGCTGCAGGCACAGGGATGGGTGTGGAAGGGCCAGCTTGCAGCAGAGTGGACTTAAAGAAAATAATTCTTTGTTATTTTTATTACCACATGCTTCTTTCTGACTCTAAAATATGGAAAAATAAAATATTTACAGAAACCTTTTTAACCCTGTGTTGGCTGGTATCTGCTCCATGATGCTTTTAGTGTGTAATGGCTCTCAGGATAAACCAGCTTGAAGGGTTGCATGCCATGGATCTGCAGCCAGGGAGGTCTTTGTGCCTCAGCTTGTAGCAGAAGGAAGATGGCTGCCACATGGCAGGGTGCCCTGCACCTCAGTTTCCTCTGTTGAGGGGAAGGGAAGTCACTATGCTCTTTGGCCCCTGATGAAAGGTCGGGCAGTAGCAATGCTGCCAGGCACAGCTCTGAGAAGCATGGGAAGCACAGTCCTGCCCGGGGCCCTGGAGACGCCATGCCGCCCCTGCTTTGCCCCTGCAGCCCCCAAGCGAGAGCCTCATGGGGCCAGATCTGGCTCCAGCCCTGTCCTTCAGTGGTTTGCCTTCACTTTGGAGGCAGCTCTGAAATGTCCTCATGGAATGTTCTCATGGCGCACCCTCCATCCAGCTCCAGTTCTCTCTAGAAAGTCAGGAGGTCAAAGCAGAGGACAAATGCCTGCTTTGGGCTGGACCATGCTAGACCCACACAGACACCAGCGTGCAGCCAGCATATATGGCACTCATGGCCCTCCCTGGGGAGCAGCAACGCTCTGTCTGGGAGAGCTCAGACACCTCTGTTTCCTCACGTACCTTCCTCAGACTAACTGGGCACCGGGCCTCATTCCATCTCCTGCCAAACAAAGCAAAAACCTCCACAAGGCCAAACAATGCAGCACATCGTGCCAGATGGCTGTCACGTGGTTTCTCGCTGCCTCTGGGCCATGGACAGCCATGGGCTCCCCTGAGGGTGGATGGTGCCAACCATGCTGTGGGAGAGGAGGGAGGTGCCCGCCACCGGGGGAGGAGGATGGGATGGGTTACGGTGCTGACTTTTATGGTCTGAGTTGACTTCAAAGTTTTCTTTCTTTCCTTCAGAAAGGAAGCTTAATGGTTTTTCATTTTATTTTATGCTTAGCAAATCTGCAATATTTTCTTTTGAAGGCTGTCCTTGTCTCCCCAGCAGGTTGCATGGCACCCTCTTGCAGACTTTGACAAGGACAATATCTCCAGAAGCAGCAAAGTGTTCCTGGGAGCAAGGGCGCCTTTTAGAAACCACTGCTTTAAAGCCAGATAGTTTGATCCCATCTCCATAACCCAAACACAATGCAGACCGTGCATTTAAATGTAAAGGAAGGCAGTGAGTTCCACCTAAGAGGTAGTGGGGACACACAGGAACACAGGGCTCATGTCCACAATGGATCATGGCTTCCTGCAAGTCCATTGGCAGAGTGATCACACAATAGGGAAGTGGGCAGGCCCCGCAGAAAAGGAAACCCAGCAGCCATTGCTGCCAAGTGGCCCTCCCCATAATTCAGAGGAAGGAAAACACCAACTGCAGACATAGGGGAAACACACAGGGACCCCGAGGCACCACAAGTATCAACTAAGAGACCTTGACGCACCATGAGTGTCACAATTCTGTCTCAGAATACCAGGTCTTGGTGAATCAGAGCTACAGCGACTCCCAGCCTGCAGGCAAACTGTACGAGTCAGTTCCCTCCACAAGACGCTGCTGGTCTGGTGAGGGCAGAAGAGGCCAATGTCAGGAGTTGGCACCGCTCCCTGGATGGCACACATCCCAACACACGTGCCAAGCACACCCACGTGTGCATCAGCTAGCTGTGCAGTACAGACCCAGAAACAATCCGTGTCTGCTTAGCTGACACATTCAAAAACAGAACAACACACACAGCAAGAGAATGGGTGACCAGAGTGCAAATCTCACCAGCCCCAAGTGGCGCACAGGAAGCCAGGCCCAGAACATGCACTTCAGGTGACCTTAGGTGACCTAAAGCAATTTTGTTAGAGGGAGGAAGAAAGTGCAGGGTAGCAGATGAGGGTGGCACCTCAGGGGCTCTCAACCAATGTGGAACCTGAGCCATGTGAGACGGGCAAGGCCAACAAGGTGGGGCCAGGCTTCTGTAGTGACACATGGTCCACAGCTGCCACCTGATGAGTCTCCACCTGACCAGAGCCTCACCTGACCAGAGCCTCACCTGACCAGACCCTCCACCTGACTGGAGCCTCACCTGACTGCTTTGCCAGTCCATCCCAGCACTGCTTGCAATGACCCTGCCCTGCCCTGCTAGGCTCTCCAGTGCCCACCTGATGTGACCATGCAGAGGGGAGCTGAACTTCGACAATTGTCTCTGAGCCACCCACCCACCAGCCTCAGCTCAGGGTCTGTGACCTCAGTCTGTGAGTGGGAACCCCCCGGAAGGCTGGGATTCAGAATCTACTCTGAGGAGAGGCCAGGTCTGCAGTCCCCTCCAAGAGTGAGCTCCCAGGGAGTCACCCCTTCAGTGCTGTGGATCTAGCCCCACAGACCACTGGGGCTCCTCGTGAAGGGGCTGTCTACCCCACTACAGCAGGTGGTCTGCCCTGGGTCCCAGGGTGCCAGAGCCACCACCAGGCGGTGGATGGAATTGTTCACATTCTTTGTGGCTGTGGTGAAGAGAAAGACATTTTTGTGGGCATGAACAAAGTTGTTGACCTTACAGTGTAATATTTCTTAACAGCACTTGCCTCTAGGCAGGATGAAGACTGAGCCAGGGAGGGTGCTGGTAGGAAAAGTCTTGGGGAAGAACTGGACCCCTGCTCCTGGCACATGCGTTTCTGACTCTGGTTGGCACCTGGTGGGTAAAGTTACTCCCTGGGTGTTTTGGTGTTGGATGGCTTAGGGGTGAGGAGAGTAGGCAGGGCCTGTTTGGGTTGCTCTATGTTGTAGAGAACAGTAGATTAAGGCTGTGCCTATCCTTGAGTTACTCTTTTTCATAAAGCAGTAGTTTTGACCTAAGCTATTCCATTTTGAGTATTAGTGACAAAGTAGAATGACTCCACATCTTGTTTACACAAGTAAACAAGCACCATCTACCAGCACACCATGAGACACAAACTGATAAATCATTTATTTGTGCCAATGAACAATCAAATGTGTGAATATATCAAATCATATCAGAAACCCCAGACACATGAGCTTATCAATCACACCAGATGTAACCTCCTCCCCTGGGACCATAAAAGAAGTAGCACTCCAAGATTGAGACGTAGCAGGCACACTGACCCATCACCTGGTCACCTCTCATAAGTCTTGGTCAGGAAAATTGCCAAAGTAAAGGACCTCTGTCTGCTTCTGTCCCCAGACTCCAGCTCAAGTGCATTTTCTCCTGGCTGTGACACACAGCTCACTTCAAGCGCACTCTGATGCCTGTCAACCAGACCTGCATTTGTCAATGTGCCTTCAACAGCTCTGAGCCTGCAGTTCACAGAACTTATCTGGTCCCCTGCCGAGACTTTTCCTTGTGTCTGTGTCACCCTCTGCCTGTGCCTCCAGCACAGCTCCCTGCAGAGCCCTGCAGCTTCTTTAATCCTTTCTTAGCATTCTGTAACCTCCATGTTGGTCCTGTGTGAAGTGAATGTGGGATCTAAGGGTTAATATTAGTAATTGAAGTTGGAATAAAAGAACCTGCTTGGCAATGGCTCGTGGCTCTCAAGTGGCAGCAGTAGTACTTGGCAAATTAATGCCAACAGAATTGATGTTGATTGTGGATTTATTCTTGCCGGATGAATTCTGACATTGTGGAAAGACACAAGCCTGCCCATCTATGTTTCTGACATGGCTTGCTCATGACAGGGATTTGGGGACCATGGCTCCAGTGAGCAGAGGCTCAGCACCCAGACCTGCAATTTCAGCTTTGCTGCTCTGCAGAGGCCCTATGGTTAGCTTTGGAGAGGTTGATGTGGATCCCCAGTGTGCCTGGGACATGGAGGACTGCTGAACACAAGAGCTCATCACCACAAAGTGAGAGCCAATAGGGAGGAACATGGAGGCCCTGCACAGGAAGGTCTGACACTCAAGACCTCCCTCTTGGTTGTTCAATTTGTTACACTGACCAAGGCATCCTTTGCTCCAGCCCTGGAGAAGGCTAACCTGCAGTGTCTACCACCACCACTCTGGTTACATCCACACCGAGGAAGGGTGTAATCCCAGAGCTGGGAGCCTGGCAGTGGACACTGCTCAACTTACCCTATGTGACTTGTACACTGACTTTCTATCATGACTCCGTTAAATAAGGATATCCAGTGCCACCCAATCCTCATACTGTAGTGAAAGTTACTGCATTTCCACGCGTGACTTTCATAACATGTGGGCCACCCACAAAGAGCCGGCCACATCTAGAGGTCACAGAAGCTAGCCTCTGACTGCAGCTGAAGCCACAGACCAGGTTGTGGCCTCCCTGTGTCCTCTGAAGGGCTCAAGATGATGGTGAGGTTTGCCTCCCTTTCCAGAAACCACAAGGAAGCTCTTTTTCACCCAAATGAAACCAGATTCTCTTTCAGCATCTGACTTGTGATCTCAATAGAGAAATGCAATCATTATTTGGATTCTATTTTATGTAAAATTCAAACCAGGTCTCTATTGTGAAAAATCTCAGATGATGGAACTATGTTGTGGGGAGCCCCCAGCTGGCACCCCCAGCCTGTCTTCAGCTTCCTATGGAGAACCCTAGCTGGTCTTCCTGGCTAGCACCCCAGACTGTCTCTGGCTTCCTTGAGGTCACCTGGAACTAGGATGTGAAGAACAGACACAGACAGTGAACAAGAACCTCGGCACTAAGAAGGGGGAACCTGGGGCCATCAGCCTGAGAACTGCAGTGAAGCTGTAGGAACTCCAGGGCTGTAGGATGGTCAGCTGAATTGGGTGTAGGACAGCAAGATAACAGCCCTGAGCCCTGTGTTGCTGCAGTGTCTAATAGTCCATTCAGCCAATGGACTTATTTTTGCTAACTTAGCTGATTCTAAAGATGTAGGAGAAGGAAGTCAAACAAGTCAGTAATACTGGGCTTTGAGTGCATGACCTAAAATTACAAGTTGACGAGGGCTGGTGACTGAGCTCCATTAATGACCTTCAGAACTCAACTTCCAAAGAACTATGAAGGACAAAAAAACAGGCCAGGGTCAATCTCCCGGAGATCATGGGAAAGGCAGGCTTTGCTAGCCCAAGGTCAGTTGGCACCAGACAGAGACTGAGCTCTCTGCTAGAAAACAGGCTTATGAGCTACATTTAACAAAATGATGATACAAAGTGACAGTCCACAGACCAGTGACCGTCTTGTCCCTTCAGGGACCGGTGGGCAGCTCCTGAGCTGTGTTCTCCACACACCAGGACTGCCACCATCCTGTGTGCTGTGACCTTCATGGGAAACCCGCTGTGCTCAGAGAACCAGGTGTGGGAGGCAGCTGGGAATGAAGTCTGCTGGACGCTGTGGCCTTGGCCAGCAGGGGGCACAGGAGCTGTGTCTTCATAGACCACGTCCTCCTCTGCCTGATTGTACAGGGCTGTGCTGGGAGGAAAGCACCCGCAGCCCCCACTGCCACACACACCATAGATTGGCAACAGGTAGGTCAACAGCAGGAAAGTGGACAGGTTTATTAAATGCACAGGCATTACAGGAAAGAAGTGAGATGACATTTAGGGGCAGACAGAGGTAGAGGGAATGGCTTGGGTCAAAGGTGAGGAAACCTGGTCTGCCAGTGCCTTCCCTTTCCTCTCTCTCCTCCAAGGACCCTCCTCCCAGCTGGAGACATGCAAGGGCACTGGGTCCCCCTGGGTGCCTGTCCTTGGTTGATGTCCTTGGTGGGTGTGGGCCTCCTTGAGTCAGAGGTCTTCAACTTAAAAGTGCCAATGCACCAGGGCACATACCTGGGCACACATCTGCCCCTCACTAATTCCTTGCAGGGACTCTGCTCTGTCAATCAACTCCTGCTCTGATGATCTCTGAGAGCCTCACCTGTCACATCAGGTGTGTCTGCAAGAGGCAGGTGTGTGGGCGACTCTCAGCTTATGATAGCACCCCTGGGCCCTGAGTTGAAGGACCTGGGGACTATCCAGTACCATCCCACTCAGAGCAGAGTTGGTCACACAGAAGCACCTCCTCAGCAGACAGGGATGTTCTAGGCCACAGGGCTACAGGGGACAGTGGGGACAGAGGAAGAATGACAGCAGAGCCAGACACCACAGGTGGCAGTACCTCAGGTGCAGGGCCTCTGCCCAGGTGGGCACAGTCTGTGCTCCCAAGTTGAGAAGACAGCACCAACCAGAGCTCACAGGTCTCTACAGGAACAGCTTTGGTTACCTGACCAAATGTCAGGAGAACACAGCACCAAGGGGTGGGCCTGACCCTCTTGGGGACACACAAGTAAGAAGCCTGAAGGAACGATCTTCACGCAGGAGACCAGAGCTGTATTCTTCACAAAATAGCTACTGCTAACTGATTTCAAGGGCCCTGGGGACAAAGCTGGTTTTCAAGTGACAACTGAACAAGGAAGCCAGGGTCCAGCAAGGTTTGTGGATTTGGGGCCAGGAAACACAGGGATCATTTGTGCCAGGGCCTCTCTCAATGAGCTCTGCTTCCATCTCTTTCCTGGCCTGTGCTCGCTGGCCAAGAATGTGCTCAGGAGGAAGAGGAGAGGGGTACAAGCCTTCTAGAATGCTCTCTGGGGTCTCTCAGAGGTGGGCTGAAGAAACAGGATTTTTAGAAGTGACTTTTTTTCTTCATTTCTTTTGATAAATCAAAACCAAGTGGCTTTTCAATGTACCACCGCTGTCACGGTGCGTAGGGGGGTGGCTTCTCCCCTGGGAGGAAGTAGGCTGGCGCGCAGAGCGGAGGGGCATTGGGCAGCCGCCCTTGGCTGGAGGGAGGCCTCGCGTCCTCAGGCAGACAGAGGTCAGCAGAGGCTGAGGCCGGCAGGGCACCGGAGGGCTGCAATTAAACAGAGGCGTCCTCGGTCAGCAGGTGGGAGCCATGCACATGCTGTACAGAACACAGGCCTGCACCACCTCGGCATGACACCCGCCCAGACCCAGGCCCACCCCTCACTAGAGTCGAAGGGAGCCGCTTGCAGGCACAGCCAGGAGTCAGGGCCCAGAGCCCATTCCCCAGGACCTCACTGGAGCAAACAGCCTCCAAAGCCACTGGGAGACGCACAGGGAAGGGCGCCAAAGCTCCTCACAGACTTCTCGCTTCCTCACCTTCTCAGCTTTCAGTCAACCTGAAAGCCTTCACCACGCTCTGACAGAGGGGCACCCAGGAGCCAGGCTCTCAGGGCCCACCCACTCTTCAAATTGCAGGGAAAAAGCAAGACCGTCAACATGTTCAGCCCATCATGGTGGTTAATTCTGTCAGCTGACCAGAGGTGTGGTCAAACCCTACTTTAGGTTTCAGGAAAGGTATTTTTCAGATATGATTAAGATTTAAATCAGTACTGCTTGCCTGCCCTAATGTGGGTGGACCTGTCCAATCACTTGCAGGGTTTGAGACAAACTAAAACTTCCCCCGCCCCAGGAAAGGGGAGAGGAGGAGAGAAGTGAAAGAGAAGGAAGAGGAGAAGGGGAAGGGAATTCTGCCTGCAGACCTTCAGATTGGGGCCAAACCAGGTTTTCTCTGGTCTCCAGCCTGCTCTGTGCCACAGAGCAGATATGCCAACTCTAAGTCAAAAGGATCAGTAACCTAAAATTAATCTAAATAAATAAACTAATTAATTAAATGCCTATGAAGTAACACAGAATTCAGCTTCTAAGCTGACCTCCCCAGGTGTGTCGTGTGACATGCCTGCCAGCCAGAGCTACCCGAGCCTCCCTGGAGACCTCACAGCAGGAACCAGGAGCCAGGAGACCCTCACTCCTGAAAGTGACTTCCTCACAAGGTGTAGCTGCAGCTGAGGATGCTTAAGTGGTGGTCAGGTCAAGGTGGACAGTCAGGGCTCTTCTTTTCTCTGTTTCTCTCTCAAATCCATGATCTTTCTGACTGTGGTGGCCAGGTGAGTCTCCAGAGAACATTCAGTGAAGTCTGCTCTTCACTGAAAGTGAGCAGCCATGCAAACCTCAGAGGAAATGATCACAGACCACAGAGCAAACCACCATAAGCCATAGAATAAGCTACCACGAATCACAGAAGAAACCATCATGAACCACAGAGTAAACCCCAATAGAGAAACTTGGAGGAAAACACCCCAATAGAGACAGTTTCCCCAGGGGCTGGCCCTATCCACAGGGGACCTTCTCATGGGGGTGGACAAGAATCCCTTACAACAGGACTCAGGGCGACATCTGCCAGTGTGGTGTCTGGCCAGCTACCGGGGGGACTGGCAAGCAGCGGCCCCTTTAAGGTTTTCCTTCTGACTCACTGCTCAGAACAGCCCTGTTCCTGGCCGTCCATCATACAGAGTCATTTTGGGCTGCTAATGACTTCAAGACACTTAAAATAATTCCTTTCCATCATGCTGGTCAGCAGAAGCAGAGCATCTATCCTGCCGTTGTTCTTCTGAGGAAGCACATGGGGCCATATCCGATGAGCCTGTTCCTCTGAATTTGATTACCAGGTCTCTGCAGTTGCACAGTTATGGCCCACGTGCGCTGGTGAGGAAAGCCAACCACTGAAGGGCAGGCACCTAGGCCTCCCCTGGGAGGAAAGGGAGCGTCCACTGTCTGGGAAACACAGAGGCTCCCTAGGGCAGAGAGGCAGGAGCGCCATGAGGGAGACCCAGTGGGTTGTCCCCAGACCCCTTTAGGCTGTGTGCATGGTGGAGGACTGATCGCTCACCACCACCACCAGGGCAGGGACAAGCACCTCAGAAAGAATTGCACACTCTGCCTAGCAGAGACTCAGATGGGAGGTCAGAGTCCAAACTGTGGGGCCAGGCTGGTGCTTGACCCTCCATGGCCTCTGTCCTCCTCCAGACAGACAGGCACCAGGACCACAGCCCAAAGGTCCAGGCTCCAGGCAGAGGAAGGACCTGATGGACTCGCACAGTTCTCCCTCATCATTCCCCCATGGGGTGTCGGTGTTACAAAGGAAGATGCCCAGCCACAGGCTGTGAACTGGGTGCATGTTCTTTGTATCTGTAGGGTTCACCCCACTTCCTCAAGGATGTGGAACCAAAATGGTCACATGGTTCTCAGGTGCTGTCTGTTCCTAGCATAGTGTTGGGTCAGTCCTGGGCCCTGACAGACCCTCTCTGTCCTGGGTGGTCGGGGCTGGGCGCTCCCACCATCCCCAAACAGTGAGGTCTCACTTCCTGCCCACAGGTCTCTCTCCTGCCCTGAGAGACATCTGAAGACACATGACTTCACCACTGCCCATGGTGCAGAAACACATTCCAGCTTGGTGTGCGACACAGAGCTTTGCAGATTCAGAGCTCTGTGCATCTCGATGCTGCCGCTGCCGCCCACCAGCGCCTCCCCAGCCAGAAAGGAAGCCTCTGTCTGTACCGGGGTTCTCAGCCTGCCACACAGGGGACACTGGGAAACATCTATAAACATTTGGTTGTCATGACTGACCCTGCAGGGGTGGACAGAGCCTAGGACACAGCCACAGGGTATGACAGACAGCCTTGAACGTCCACAGTGCCAAGGTCCAGTCAATAAAGTGCCACTGGACAACCTGGGTCTGTTTCACCCATGGCTGCCAGAGCTTCCTGGTATGTGAAGAAGCCAAAGCCAGACATGGAAATGGGAGGAGAGAGGACCCTGCGTGAACAAGGGCTCGCCCGCGCCATCCTCCCAAACAGTCCTCATGGTCAGCAGGACTGACGGGATGAACCCTGTGAAGTCACCATCTTTGCAGGTAAATGTAGACAGATGTTAGCAAGTGCCTGACCCCACTTTTCTCATGGGTGTCCACTACCCAGGCAGCTAGTAGCATCCTCAGTCTCCAAGGTCTGTAGGGCCAGTGACGGCTAGAAAAGCAGTGGCTGGCAGAACACCATCATGGACTGCCAGGGTCAAATATGGCAAGGAGCCCGCAACACAGCGGGACCCCTGGTTGTCTCCCAGCCCTCCACAACACTCCTGACCTTAGCACACCTACCTGAAGAGGGAGAGGGTAGGATGAGCAGGTTGGCACGGTTGCAGGCGGTGTGCAAAAGCCAGTGTAGGCCAGGATCTGCTGGGCAGGGTTGTAGAGGATCTGAGGTGGGGAGGACGGGCCATAGGCGAGCTGGGACAGAGGGACCTGTGGAGAAGGGAAGGGTCAGTGTGGTACCCTCAAATCCATGGGGGGCAGCATTTGGCCTATGGTCCCTGCCCTCTGGGGAGCCCCATCCCCAAGCCAGGGAGGGCAGGGTCGGCCCTCCCTATAGTGAGAATCCCAGCATCCTCTATGTGGGCTCTCCCTCCGTCTGGAGTTACCACCTGAAGCAGGGTGGAGCCTGGATAGGCAGCCTGCTACTGCCGATGGCCAGTGACCAAAATCCCTGGAATTGCAGGCTGGTGAGAAAGGAGTCTTCCTGGCCATGGTGGACTGTGTTCTGCTTACGTGTGCCTGGCACTGCCTTACGTAGCCTGGGCTCAGGCTGGGTGGGCTCTGGTGAGGGGCGCGGGATGAGGGGTCAGGGAACACTGCCTTGGCCTGCGCCTGCTGCTTCCTGACCACATCTCTATAAGTTTTACTGCAGAATGCACCAGCACCCATCTGCTTCAGAGCTCAGGGGACAGAAGGGCGATTCTGCTAGCCAGCCCCAGTGAGAAGTTGCCCCTTGAAAGGTCAGTGGGTTGAAGACTCGAGGACAGGCTCAGCCTAGGCCACGTCAGAGAGGAGCAGGTACACTGGAGGACTGCAGAGTTTCTCTATGGAACTCACTAAAATGGGGCCCACATCGGCACCAAGGCAGCCACTGACCCCGTGGTGACTCCAGCAGAGTTGAGCTTACTTCTCAGATGGGAATCAAGTGCTGCCTACTTTGGAGTGTGGGTGAGGACAAAGGTAGGCAGCTGTTGTAAGTCTATATGGGGGGCCTGCTTCCAGGGCAAGCAACAGTAATCACCTGCTGCCATCTGACCTACAGGGGAGCCCTAACAAACACCATGTCCTCCTCCATCAAGGGAGCCACCAAGGTGAGGCACTGAGCCCCAGCCTGTGGCCGGGTGGCTAGACCATGCTGGAAGATGTCACTCACCATGTCCTTGAAGGCTCCCAGGACCGCAGCCGTGACGATACCCATGCACAGGCCCAAAACGTTCAGCACTGTGGAGACCCAGAGCAGCCTGTACAGATGGATGACGTCCTGACAGCTGCGTACACCCACAAACTCATAGTAGGCAGGTGACGGCTCCATGCTGCAGGAGAACAGGAGAACTCACCATCACCGCCAGAGTGTGGCTGTGGCAGGTACTGTGTGCTAGACTCACAGGTGACCGCCCTGACTGTTAAAGCCTGGGTCAGGGCATCAGATAATGTGCAGGAGCTGTTGTCAGGTGAGTATACTCCGCGTTAAGACCAAGGTCAGAAGACCACCCCAAGTGTGAGATCAATGGTCAGTGAAACCCTGGGTGTTAGACACACAGCCTCCCCACAAGTCCAATGCCCAAGCAGAAAACAGGAAGGCACCTTTCCTAATGTCCACAGAAGTATAGGATTGAACTCTGGGCCACAAAACATCTCCTCAGTGAGAAAAACCTCACCAAGCCATCTAGGTTCCAGTCCTGCCTAGAATTGGAAGTGGATCAGGACACCGCCTAACCCTAAACCTAACCAACCTAGCCCTAGACCTAACCTGTAGTTCTAATGCTAGCCTTCACCCTAGTCCTAACCCTAATTCCAACACTAAGCCAAACTCTAAGGAACCCAAGCCCTAACCCAGACCCTTAGTCCTAACCATAAGCTTAGACCTAAACCTAGTTATAACCCTCACCCAAACACTAACCCTAAATTCATCAACTTGTACAGGCTCCAGTCTTGTCTAGAATAGGCAGTAGCTCATGACATCACAAAAGTCAAACCCAAAACTTAAACCTAGCCATCACCCAGACCCTTCCATAGCTCTAACTCTAGCTCTAGCTTTAACCCTAGCCATAACCCTAACCCTAACCCTAACCCTAACCCCTTACAAATTCAGGGAGCTGTGAGAAGTCACCGTTTGAATGTTGAACTTTCTTAAGGACCAAGAAGACATTGCCCAAACTGAACCCATGGCTGCCCTGCCCTTCACACCAGGGAAGTCAGCCATGCCCAAGGCCTCAGCCACTAAGGTAAGCCAACACTTTATGCTCTCATTTTCCACACATACCATCAGGGGAGAGAAGTTGGGGTCCTGGGTTAGGTGTTTGGGGATCCCCGCCTGGAGAGGAGGCAGTACCAGGACATGCCAGCTGTCACCTTGGTGACTGTCCCAGGCATCACAGCCAGAGGCCAGGCCAGGTTTTCCCCACATATGCTGTGTGTGCTCATAGATGGTGACTGAACCTCTCTGAGTCCCCATTTCCTCCTCTGTGGAATGGCATCAGTGGTCTGAGGGTAACTGAGGAGGCTTGGGTTCAGGATTGGGGATGCCAGCAGCAATGGTATGAGGGAGATCAGGATCTCACCAAGGGCAGTTGCGGTGTGCACGTCTTGCCCTGCAGATGCCTGGTGTGTGCGTGCTCATGTGCTCTGTGTGTGTGTGTGTGTGTGTGTGTGTGTGTGTGTGTGAATGGGTTTCTGGGGGGGCCTCACCTCCCACAGGTGTAGAGGTCACAGCAATAACACGTGTTGCTCCTCACCTTCAGCTGGCACCTGCCATTCAGGGAGTAGCAGGTAACCTGGGGGAAGAGAGACAGTCAGATGTGTGAGGGCCTGATGTCTTTCCTCCCAAGAGTGGGTAGTGCCTCAGGCCTGGACCCTCTTCTCCCCTTCCTCCTCAGAAGCAGGGGGTTTGTGGGGACTCCCCCTCACTCCCTGAGCCCACAACACCTCTTCTCTGGAACATCTAAAGCACTGATACCTCTTTGACGGTCTAAAAACCCCAGAGCAAGCTGAGGGAACGTCAGCTTGCCATTTGCCTCCAGATTCATGCCCTCTGGCATTGACATTGGTTTGAGAGGCTGTGTTCCATTAAATAGACAAATCTCCACAGCTTGGGGTTGAACAGCCAGAGCCACAGGCACACCTGGGACAGTCCCATGTGTCGGCTGCTTGGTGCACCTGTTATTCCTGGCATCTCACCCAGGGAGAAAGAGTGAAATCCTGCTGCAGCTGTTCTTGGCCCAGGGAAAGCCCCCGGGGCTCTTAGACAGTGCACATGTATCACCCCAGTGTTCCACTGCAATAATTAAGTCAGAAAAATGCAAATTGGAGAGATCATGCAGAACTGGACAGATCAATTCCAACACTGGGAGCAAAGAAACAAGTCCACAGCTGTGATTACAGAGAAAACAGAGTACATTGAAAAGTCAAGGCTAGCTCAGGAACAAACGCAGAGCCGTAAATGTCTCCCACCCACTGGCAAAGACATGACAGGAAGGTCTGTCAGAATCAAAACAGTCACACTCTGACCAGGACAGAAAATGGGTGATCATGGAGTCAGCAGAGCTAATATCCAGCGAGTCAGAGGGCTCACCTCTGTCTGGTAGACATCGTACAGGTACCCCGACCCACTGGAGTAAAACTGGCATCTTCCCGTGCTCAGGGGCCTCAGCTCCTAGAAGAAATTAATGCAAATGAAATGTGTTGGTCACCCCAATGAGGAGTGGCCAGAGGCCATTTCAGACCCATCTGCCATGGGCTTGGACCAGGACAGAAACCAACACCAGTCAGAGCCTTCCAGGCAGAGCAGCTGGGCCCTGGATCCAGGAAGCAATCAACTGAAGGCCCAGGAAGGGGCACCCTCAGTTTTACCCATCATCTCCACCCATAAACACAGGGAGCCAAAGGAACACGACTGCTAGACCTGCTGAGGGGCATCCCCCAACCACACCCAAGACACCTGGGCTCCTGTCTTTCCCTAAAAGCAAAACAGGTTTTTTGTTTGCTTGTTTTTTTTGTTTTAACTAGGAAGGTAACAAGTAGTATTTCAGACTAATTCACTCCTCTGTCCAAGCAGCCCACACAAGCATCCACCCAAACATCCATCTCTTCATCCAGTCATTTGATCACCTGTGCATCTATCCATCCATCCATCCATCATCATCCATCCGTCCATCCATTTATCATTCATCCATCATCCAAACATCTATCCACCAATACCCATCCATCTTCATCCATCCATCCACCCAATTATTATCCATCTCCATCCATCCACGCACACATTCATCCACCCACCCATCCGTTCATCTGCCCATCCATCCATATCCATCTATCTTTTACACCCTATTCCCACCAGTTGACTATTCACTCATCAGTGGTCCTATTCCACTATTTGCCTCCAACATTTCATGGAATGAACACAGTGCCAAACTACAAGGAAACCAAGGTAAGCCAGTGTTCTAATAGACCAGTAAAGGGGGCAGACCAATGAACTGAGAGTGTTTACAACTGCTGTGGCAGAGGATAACAAGGGACACAGTAGTTGAAAACTGCCACGAAACCACGTAACCTGTAGAGGAGTTAAGGGCCCAATATCTGTTGTCTTCATGCTATTATCGTATTTCCCAAAGCATTGCTATTTCTGACCTAATAAGAGTCTAAAACCACCAGTAACGCTGGTAGTGGGCAGGAACAGCCCTCATCATTCACTCCGGCAGCAGCTATGGCAGGCACTTACATGCTAGGACAGTCTGGGTTGATTCAGTAACAGGAAGACAGCTGAGTCTCGTCCCTGTGGTGTTTTATTCCTGGGAGGCAGACCCTCAGCTGCAGGTTGAGCACAAGGAGGAGCAGGAAGGGTGTGAGGGGGTGCAGAGATGGAGGAAGTAGAGGAAGGTCAAGGCCAGTGGCTGCAGTGCAGGGTTTTTCAAAGCTCCTGGGACACTGTTCAGGGATATTGGACTAACAGCTTTTGTCACCAACATGGCAAGACCCAGTCCTCATCCCCTAAGTGTTCCAGGGAAGTATGTCTGCACAGCGTGGTGTTGGGGTCTCAGCAACCATCCGCATGGTCAGTCTCTGCTCTCCATGGGAAGTCTGACCCATACCAGTGTCCTCATGAGGGTGAACCACTATAGGCTCTGTCGCCACTGGCCTGGTCACCCACCTGTGGTGCTTTGGTGGCCATAGGATGCCAGGGATCCAGGACCCAGAGTGACTGGGTGAGGCTGTGTGCCACCCATGCCTCTGCCAGGCCTCGGCCCCTCAGCCTGCACTGACCTGGTTCTCCTCCTTCCTTCACTTCCAGGGGCTCACAGCTGCTGTGTCTCACATCAGCTACCCTATCTCAGTGTCACTTCCTGAGAACCTAGCCAGAGACATGTGGACATGGTGGTGACAAACTCGGGAACAGGACTCAGCGCTCTCATGGCTCAGCCCCATGAGCATTTGCTGCCTCTTCAGGCGTGTGATTGCACCTTGGGACGTGGAAATACCCTTTTCAGACATCATTGGATGCCTGCTGAAAGGCATGCCCTTGGGGTCACCTGGAGTCACCCTTAGGCCTCCAGCCTGAGGTTAGTCCAGCCCAGGGCCAGCCATGAAACACCAACCCACAGTGTAAATCTGGACTCCCAGTGGCTCCTTCCCCGGGCAGAACTCCACCATCTGGCTTCATCTTGCCTGATCTTCAGGGTTCCCTCAGATGAAGTAATTTTTACTAGCTGGAATTAAATAAAACAGTAACCTATCTCCATCCAGGCTAAGTCGTGCAATTTGGTTTTTGAATCTGTAAAGAAGGTGGAAATTATTTCTGGGATGACCTTCACCTCTGGGGCAGAAGTGCCCTACTGAAAGGGACTTTCAGTACCCAAGTGAGAGGTCAGGAGGGACATCAGGCCTTTTATTTCTTATGGTTCCACGTAACTAATACCAAGATGACCAACGTTCACCCTTAGCAGGACTGCTGGTCCTGGTGCTTTCTCTGCCTCTGTGTCCATTCATGCCTTGTCTGTGGCTGCTTTTTCCACTAAAATGTTGGAGCTAAGCAGTTGTGACAGGGACCATGTGGTTCACAGCCTTCACAGAGAGAATTGTCTACCCTGGTCACACCCCAAGGTCACACACCCCCGATCAGGTGCCCCAGTCAGGTCCCCAGCTCCTCTGACATTGGCCAACCACTGACAGTGTCCCAAAGTTAACACTAAGTCAAAACTGGGCATTTCTCTGGCAAAGGGGAATTGCCCTGTTAGGAGCTGAAGGTCCAGCTGCGTGACCACTGCCTTGCTGTTTCTCACTTGTCCTGTAATGAGCCATGAGCCAGAAGATGTGCCTGAGCCCACAGGTGGGTGCAGAAGGCCTGACTGCCGGTGGCAGGAGAAGGACACACACACACACACACATGTGCACACACACATGCACACACAGAGGCACAGCATCCCCACCTGGCTGCCCATACCTTGTCATGCCATGCCACATGTCACATCTTACTGATTGGATAAGGTGTAGAGTGCAAGTCACACCACATCTTACCGTGTCCTGTGGAATAGACGACATCATCCAACTGTGCATCACGCACTGTGCATCACGCCTGTGTGGTCACATTCGTAACACACTATTCCATGTTACAACACATCACACGCACTGTGCCGTATTGTGTTGTGTCTGCACAGTGTACCATATCCCACGTCACACCACAGTGTGTTGATGTCATGTCCTACCGTCCGTCACACGCCACACTCCGCGCATTACATCCCACCACCGGTCACATCCCACTCTACTGCAGCATTTTACACGGCTTTGCACAATCGTGTCATGTTAGGGCACACATCACATCATAGCAGGTCATACGATGCTTTACACAGCATTAATACTGCTTGCTTGATTTCTTTGCAGACTGGGGTTTGAATTCAGGGCATACATGGAGCCACACCACCAGCCCTTTCTTCAGGATGGGTTTTTTTGAGATAGTGTCTTGCGAACTATTTCCCTGAGCTGGCTTTGAACCGTGAGCCTCCTGAGTAGCTAGGATAACAGGTGTGAGCTCCTGGCATAATATTTGTTTTTTTATTTGTTCTGGTCTCCCTGATTTTGTGGGAACTTTGACTCTAGCCCACCTGGCCCATAGCTGCTGCATAGACATGGGCACAGATGAGTGAGTGAGGTCAGGCCTGGCTCTGTACAGGGACAAAGCTCAGGTCAGTCACAGATTGAATATATACTCAACTTCCTTCCTGCTTGTCCCACTCAGTTATGTAAAAAGATTTTTCCTTCCTTCCTGCTTGTCCCACTCGGTTATGTAAAAAGATTTTTACATAACAAATCTTTTCACAGACTGTTTTGCATACTTGTAGCCCCACATTGAGTGAGAAAGTCCCCACAATCTTGAAATGGAGAATGCTGAACTAAAAACATTAGGAAGTCAGTCAGTGATTTGGGATGGATTTTGTGTTAAGTTTAGTGAGAGCCCAGGGCAGTGACCTGGACACACAGGAGCTCTGGGACCAAAGAGGAAGAATCAGGGGCAAGAACTAGACTTTGATGTAATGGTGTGTGTGTGTATCGTGTGTGTGTGTGATGTGTGTGTGTATGTGTGATGTGTGTGTATGTGGGTGTGTGGCATGTGTGTGTGATGTGTTTGTGTCTGGTGTGTGTGGTGTGTGTAGGGCAAGGGTGTCAGTTTGCAGGAATGAGACCCAGCACTGGCAGACGCAAGCAAGGAACCAGCTTGACGTCATGAGAACTGAGCTCTGCAAAGTGAAGTTTAGCTTTTTATGTAGATATTGAACCCCAGGAGAGAGACTACAGGCAGCCAAAGATGGTACTCACAATGTGTTGTGCTGCAAACACGCCATCCACAATGGCACAACAGAACGCAGCCACCACACCAAAGCTGATGAACACGATGGCCGCCACCAACTGCAAGCAGAAAGAAGAGGGTGTGGATTGTCAGCCTAACCAAAGATGTTTCGAAAGCAATCCAGAGTCCCAGCTTGATGTTAGGGTCCTCTGCACAGACTGCCATGCTCCACCTCCACCTCCCACCCAGTGATTCACAGCCCAGGACAGGCCCGCCCAACCAGACCCGTCCATTTGGGTGCACTTTGTGGTTCATCGTGGTGTCAGCATGCCTGGATTGAGAGACACCTGGGGATTAAGAAAGCACAGCTCTGGGTGTGTCCACTACAGCATTACCAGAGACTAGGTCACAAGGACTCTGACCAAATCGATGGCTCAACTCACAGATGGATTCAAAATGTGAATAGACTATTAGGAGCTGGCGGAACTGTGGGAGATGGGGCCTGGCTGGAGAATGAGGGTCACTGCTGGCATGTTTTGGGGGATGTGTCTTGCCCTGGTCCCTTCCTGTTGCTGTTCCTTTCTGCTTCCTATCTATCATGATGCGAACTGCTCCTCCATGCCATCTCTGCCATGATGGGGAAACTGTTAGCAAAATGGATCTTTTCTCCCTTAAATTGTTGCCAGCAAGAAGAAAATGTAACCAACACAGTTCTGTTCCAGAGTCACCTTCCCTGTGGAAGTGAGCTTGGTCCCTTCACCCTCCACACAGTGCTGACACATGGCTCCTGACTGCAGTGTGTACACAACTAGAATGCCTACTCCCATTTACATGTGTGTGCACGTGTGTTGTTTGTGCACATGCATGTGTGTTATGTTTGTGCATGTGCATGTGTGTGCACGTGTGTTGTTTGTGCGTGCGTGTGTGTGTGTGTTGTGTGTTTGCTGCAAGCCTCTGAAAGTCCCTGGATCATTTTGTACCCTCATGCACCCTGTGCTTAGAGGCCTTGGAGCAGCAACAGGTCATCACAGACTAACCCCACTTACTGATGGGTGAGCACTCTACAGTTTCTGCCTTTATAAACTGCTACAAAACTCCAAATAGGTTCTTTATAAACACGCATATGCTGACATATGAGTTTTTCTGTAGGATCAATTTCTTAAACATACATCAATCCAATATTTTGATATAGGACATATTTAAGTTCTTTTCACTTTAAAATTTTGAGAGAGAATTCTACACTGTCCTATAAACATTCTTTGCTAGTTTTTATACCCATAAACTGCAGAATGCCCATTTCCTTATATTCTGAATCATGCTTGAAATTATTGATCTTTTTTAAGGTTTGACATACTGATAGGCAAAAATAGACTGTCTCATTAATTCAGCTTGCATTTCTTTGAAGATTAACAAGGTTGAAAGTATTTCTTATACTTCTTGGCCATTTCTTTAATGAAGAAGGTGCTGCTTCTTGTGCTCCCTCCCTTGCCGGAGTGAGGTTTTCTCTCTCGCTCCCTGGTTATTACTGAATCTAACTGGGTTTAACTGGGGGCAACTGGAGATTCAGAAAAGACACAGGATAGACAGACAGAAAGTGGAATCAGGTGTGTTGGGTGCTCAGGTGGAGACGCACAACCCTCATTGCTTCTTTTCTTTATCTTTACTCTTTAAGGCCTTACTCCTTGCAGTTCTTTAAAACCTTGCTTCTAAAACCTTCTTTAAAACCTTTCTTAAAACCTCTTTCCTTAGGCTCACACTGAGAGAGAGAGGAGGAAAGGAAGAGAGGGAGGGAGAGAGGGAGGAAGGAAGAAAGGAAGATAATTCTTATGTATCCTTCACTCAGATTGCCCCATACATTTGCACCTGCAAAACTACACACATAGCCCCTTTCCTTCCTTTGACTCCTTCTCCAGCAGGTAGGAATCTTGTCTACAAGGCGTAGGTTTGGTGCTCAGTCCTAGAACACACATAAAGTCACTGGAATTACCAACCACACTTTTGGGAAACACGCCTCATAGCTAGAGTGCATTGTTAGCGAGCAGTTCTGTCTTTACCTCAGAGAAGTCAGATGCTGCCCAGGCACTTAGACTGGTCCTTCCCCAGCCCTGCCTGTGGTGCCACTTGCTCCTTAGTGATGCAGCCAGGGCCACACCACCGCACCTGGTACCCTCTCCCTCCCCCTACTCCTCTCAGTTATTTGTTGGACATGGATCTAAAGGTCAGAACTACACCATAAGGAGGGTGTTCTCCAGAGGCCTCCTCCTGGCCCTACTACCCCAGCCCTCCTGTCCCATGGCCTTCATCCCAAATCCATGTCACCCCGGGCCCTTGGCCAAGCTGACTCCCAGCAGCATCTGGGGTATTGGTCACTCCCTTCCTCACAGCCCCCAGGAGAGCAAGTTAATTAATACATGAGCACTGGAAAGGCAGGAAGCCCCATGCAGGCCATATCAGTAAAAGCCCACTGGCAGCTCACAGAGGGTTGTGAACATGCTATTCCATTGCATTCCTACTGCGTTTCCAGACAACTACACACAGCCAGTCTCCCCCCAAACCTTCATCCTGTGGGAATTATGCACTGGGAAAAATTCCCAACTTGGCCAGAACCCAGAGTCAGCCTTTACCCTGCAGCATAGCACCTGGGAGGTCCCAGGTTCCAGGTCACACAGCTGGTATGTGGCTGGGCTTGGTGCAAATTGAGATGTGCTGGAGTAAAGACATCCAGAACCCCCAGGCCTTCCTGGTGACACCCTGACCGACACACAGCAGCAGATAAACAGTCTTCGGTGTGTACCAGTGCAAGAGACAGAGAGAGAGAGAGAGACAAGCAGGCAGAGACATACAGAATCAGAGAGAGGCAGAACCACACAGGAAGAAACAGAGACAATGAAAAGAACACCTGGAGAAGAGGAAGAAGTTGGAGCCCCTTCCAGCAGGTGGTGTTTTTGACCTACAGTTCCAGGTGAGATAGAGCTGAGGAGGTAGGACAGATGCATAGGCACAGGCCCACTTCAAAATGGAGAGTGGATTCTTATTACACAATGGGAACCCAAGCAGCTGTGCAGACTCTTTGAGAGCCATTGCTATGAGAATTTGGTTTTCATGCCAACCATACAGACAGGACACAGAGTGTCACCTCTGGGACATTCAGATGCTGACAACCACCGAGGGGAGAAGGAGAGATAGGACAGGAGAAGATGACACATGGGGCAGGCTCTGAGCCGAAACAAGGCAAGGAGAACTTGCCAGAGGAGGAGCCTCTCACTGTCAGAAAAAGAGCCTGACAAGTGGTCCACAGGTGAGAGACGCAGGGAAGGGTCATCCCAGGAGTAGAATCCAGCCCATAATGGCCTTCCAAAGGCCGAGGTTGCCTGGTTTCCTGAGCCATGTTTCAGCCATTGTCCACCTTGTGTCCCAGCCCCAGTAGACTCCTGGGTGCTCCCCGGCATCTCCATTCCATGTCCTTGGGCTCTGAACACACTAAGGCCCTCCCCCCCAACCAGAGCTCTTTGAGACCAGAGGCCCTATGGCACTTTCCTTTTCCTGGTCCTAACGTGGTCTTTAGATGGTGAAGAAGAGGGTGGAAGATGAAGTCATAGGAGGGGACACTCAGGTAGCCTCAAGTGCCATTAGCCAAGATGGTCCTGGTGCCTCCAGTGAGGCTGTGGGTATGTGAATGGCCATTATACTCCCTGCCCTCTGCAACCTGGGACTCCACCTGCACAGCCTTCTCTGTGCAGCTAGCTTATTCTCAGGTGATTCACTGTGGATGCTGGCATGTGTCCTTGCCAATGACCTTCAGGTCCTCCCAGCCCTGGGAACCTAGGATCTCAGGAGACACTCCCATTTCTACCCAGGCTGAACCCTAGGGCTGACCCTCTGCATTCAGCCCCACCTGCTTGGAGCCCTGATGCCTGGGCCTGTCCCAGCTCGTAGGAGAAAGTTGAGGGCTCAAGTCCCTCACTAACAGGTGCAAGAAAGACAAGCAAGGTCCCTATACTCCCAACACTGAGACGAATAGAAAAAAAGGTGCCTAACCCACAGGCCTGATGCCCTGGTCCCTTGTAGGAAGCTTTTCTCAATCTGTAAGTTACTGTGGTCTTTCTCTGTCAGTGGAGTGTTCCAAGGAGGGGTACCTGAGCACATCTGCACATGTCTGTGCAAGCACATGTGTGTGCACATGTGGGCAGGGGATCTGGCAGTTAACCTGTTTTCCATCCTTGTCCCTGGGGGACAAGCTAGACTATAGACAGGGCTGTTAGTGAAATCAATGATTGGGGAGTGTGTTTGACTGAGGAGCAAAATAGCTCATTCAGGCAGAGAAGTACCAAAAGCTGGCTCCATCTGTGCCTTCAGCTCCCACTGGGACTAGATGGGCAGAGATAATGGTGAGGCCATTTGTAATGATTAGATTTCACCCTCAGAGTGGACAGATGAGATGATGTCCTGTCTGGAATTTGCTCCACCAGCCCATGAAGGGGAGGAGTGGTAAGAGGAAGAACAAGAGAAGCCCTGAGCTGACTGTGGTCACACTGAATGACAGGCATGGGTCCATTAGACTAAACTGTCTACTTTTACATATGCTTAAATTTTTCTGTAGTGCAATTTTAAAATTAAAACAAATCAAGAAGAAAGTGTCTGTATGTGCCTGAAGGTGTCTCCCTGACTGAAGCCGCCACAAATCAGTGTGCTTAGAGACATGAGTGATGACACCAGTTTCTCAGCACTCCAGGCCCTACACTAGGCTGGACATTCCCTCAGGCAGGTCTCAGCTGCTCCCACCAGTCTGCCCAGGGTGCTGGGCTTGGCTGAGGTCCAAACACACTTTGTCCCCCCAGGCCACGGCGTGAGCAGTGGACCCGGGTCTCATGTTAGGTTAAAATGTGTGCTTGGTACACAAAATTAGTCCAGGAGGACACTTCCCTGAGGACATGGGGGACTGTACAGGGATCACGCAGCCCTTCAGGGGACTGAGGACCCAGTGACCACCTCGCACCTGTCTGAAGCTGGACCTGCCACCCTGGTCAGTGCTACCACCTCTGGATCTTTATCTCCCGCTGCAAGGCCTGCATTTCTTTGAATAAAGCTGGACATGCAGACCAAGTCTCCAGACTGGACAGAAAGAGCCAAAGTGCTATATGCAGATGGCACAGTCTTGCAGACAGGTTCCCTAGGAACCCACTGAGAAATCACCAGAAACAAGGTCTACAGGGTCGCAGGACAGAAGGTGAACTTGCAGAAAGTAGTGGAAAGAAACACTGTAACAGCAAAACTAAGGAAACAATGCTCTTCACAATGACCTTGAAAGAACAAAATAAATAGGAATAACGTTAACAAGAGAAGCACAAAATGTACACTCTGAAAACACAGAAGCACTGGTGAAAGCAACTAAAAAGGCTTAGGCAAACATGGAGACTTCCCGTGTTCCTGGGTCAGGGCCCTCCGTGGTGCCACAAAGGGAACACTCAGCCTCTCGGCAAAGCAGTTCCAGGACCGTGCCCATCCCACCCCAGCTGGCTGCCTGCAGTTCACCAGTTGATTCTAAAACTGTGAAATTGCCAGGGATCCAGCTAGGGAAGGACAGACATACAGGCCAGTGGGATGGAAGTAACCCACATAAGTACAGTCAACTGACTTGACAAGAGCACCACGACGTTCAACAGAGAAAGAACAGACTTCCCACAGATGACACTCAGACAACTGGAAAAACACAAGGGAGTGATGTGGACCCCACCTCACACCATATATAAAAATCAGCCTGGATCAGAGGCCTAAATGGAAGTGTTAAAGCTTCATCAGAATTAAAAACTACCGTTCCTCAATGACACCTCCAGGAAAGTGAAAAGACAACACACAGAACAGGTGTCTATTAAGGGGCTCAGTAATAAAAGACAAGCAAAGCCCAAAGATGCATCAAATGACCAACAGAGAAATGCAGGGAAAGACCACAATGAGTTATCACTTCACACCCCCTCAGGTGGCTAGAATAAAAAAGCCAGGCAAGAACAAGTGCTGGTAAGGATGTGGAGGGATTGGAAACCTTGTACCTGCCCGTGCAGGATGCAGGTCCACAAACAATTAAACATAAATTTACCACATGACCTAGCAATCCTCATCCTAGGTACAACTCCAGGAGAAATGAAAGCATGTGTTCCCAGAGAAACTTGCACACAAATATTCTCAGCAGTACATTCACAGTAGCCAAAAGGTGAAGACATTTGTAATGTCCACCACTGGTGAGTGGATAAAAAGGTGGTCCATCCACATGGTGGAATATTATTCAGCCTTAAAGGAGAAGGGAATTTTGACACACGCTACAACATGAATGAGCCCTGAGGACGCTATGCTCAATGAAAGAAGCCAGACACAAAAGACCAATATTACATGCTGCTCCCCTCGTGTGAAAGTCCAGCATAGAAACCTACAGAGGCAGGAGGCAGACAGGTGGGTGGGTCGGGAAAGCTGGAGGAGATGGGCTCTTGTTGGATTGACGGCACGTTCTAAAGTTGGTGGTGATGTCTGCACGTATGTGTGGAAACCCTACAAGCTACTGAGCCAAACACTTCAAGCGGTAAAATGTATGGATGTTGAATGAATCTTATCAACACTGTTTTGTTTTGTTTTTTAAAAAAAAGAAAAGAAAAGAAAAGAAAAACAGAAAGGAACGAAATCAGCCTTCAGGTCATGCAGGTCCACACCAGAAAGTGAGGTAGGTGGTGCCAGCCCTGCGCTCTGCCCACCCCAGGCTCACGTACCACTTCGGCTTCTCTGGGGAAACTGTGAAGAAGCACTCGTGCAGCCTTCGATCTGCAGACCACAATGCCAAGCACAGCCAGACCTCCTGACTCTGGGTGCAGAGAGAACAGCTATGTCCCAGGGAACCACCATGCAAGCACGTGACTCCCAAAGGCGACCTCTGGCCCTCAGCAGTCACATCCTGACTTCCTGTTTCCAGAACTGTGCCCACCTTGGCCAGCCACGGCCCTGTCCTCGGGACCCACTACTGTGAGGTGTGGAGAGGCAGATCCTTCTCCATCATCTTGCAACACTGAGAACACAGCTCAGCCTGCAGGGCACCGTTGTCAACGTTCAGGACAAAGCTCTCTGCAAAACCAGAATCCCAGCCCCATGCCCACAAGAGGCCTACTTGTCGAAGGCTGGGTTCCATGCAGACTCCCTGCTACATTGCTGTGAGTCACAAGGTAGGCACTGGGGCTCTTGGCCCCGGGGACAGGGAGCGCCAGGGTTGGGCAGGTAATGGTCCATTATGCTCCTCACACCCTGGTAAAAATGCAGGAAGGTTACTTTCCAACTTGGTGACATGTGAGATGACAGCCAGTGTGGGTAAGAGCTGAACCCGCCAGCAAGGTCTAAGGCAAGGGCTTGGAAATGTAGACGTGGCTGACACAGCCCTCTGAGCAGGCTCCCGAAACTCAGCTCTGCCTGTCCCAGGAAATAGGGAAACTTGACCACTGATTTTGATGACAGTGCATCAACAAACAGATTCCACATCACACTGAGCAGTGCTGCCATCCCCGGCCCACGCAATGGACCGCACTTCTGGATGTCCACTGTGTACTTCTACAGACCCAACCCTGGGCCTCTGCTCTCTTCCGTTTTTACTTCCTTTTCCACAGTCTGGACGAGCCTGACATTCACCTAGCATTCTGACGAATGCTCACTTAGACTAAAGTGAGAATGGCACCCACTAGACCCCAAGTACAGGGTTGGGCAGTAAGGGCCTGTGGGTTGTGGGATGCATGGGGGGGACCTTCCTCGGGAGCCCAGCTGTGGCTGTAGCATCCTCTGTCAAGGCGCCAACATTCTGCCCTCCACAGTGGAAGAAGTGTGTTCTCTCACCATTTGTCTTCGGTTCTCCACCAGGTTGACGCCAACGATTCCTAAGAAAGATCCAAAGCCCAGCTGAGCCCGGAGTGGAAGCAAGAAAGACAATGTGGTTAGCATCAGACTACACAGACAGCCTCTGATGCCGCCCTGAAAATGCTTTGTGCTGGGTAGCCACTCCCACCTCAGAAGCACCTCCCGCCATGCCAAGCCTGCCACAGAGAGCGAGCCTATCACGTGAGCTCACCGTGAGGAGCCCACCACACCACAGAGATATGATGCTGTTCAGGAACCTCACACCCTCACAGCTGGTGGCTCAGAAGATGCTGAACACAACTGTCCTGGCTCTGCAGAGGCCAGTCAGCTCTTGGTGACAGGAGAGGGTGTTGTGTCCCCAGGACATCTCCATGGGGACCCAGAGCCCATCACAGGCACCTTTCAAGCCATCTTCTCCCAGCCAGCCTGAGAACATCGGGAGCAACTTCACAGAGGGATGTTAGGAAGCTAAGCCCACCATGTCCAACAGGACAGCTACTGACCAGGACAGCTGAAGGCTCTGGGCTCAGGGCAGCAAAGACACAGGCCACCTCGGCTTGAGGGGGAGTAAGGTAGGAGGCTCCAGGCCTGAGAGAGGACAGGCCCAGGGCAGAGGCACAGAACATGCAATGTGAGCCTCCTAGTCTCCCCTTGCTCCCAGGAAAGCCCAAGAAGAAAATGGTGGCAGATATCTCGAAAAGCAAGCCATAGCTATCCTGGTCTTAACACAAAGGCTCAGAGTCTGTGCACCAGGACATGAGCAATGCCCCTGAAAACCGCTTTGAGCTACCGGGCAATGCCTCTGGCAGGTGCAGGGCAGCCAGCTGGGCCAGCTCTGGCCTGGGTAAGAGCCTGGCTCCCAAACACAGGTCCCCGCCCATCACTCCGAGGAGTGGTGGGGCCCACGTGGACAGCTGGCAGCACTCTAACTTAATGCACTGGAAATCTGCCCCATCTGTGACCACAGTCGTGCCTGTGTCTGTCATCACATCTGTGGTGACATACCAGTACACAAGTGACTTCCCCATGATCTGGGAATTCTCAAGGGATAAAGAAGATGAACAGCCCTTTGTGAGACCACAGTTCAAAAGTATCAAAATCCATCAGCAAGTATTAAAGATATTAAAATATGCCTAAGTTTCACTAAATTCAAATTTGAATTTGAGAAAATATTGTTTTCCAAAATGTGGTGGCATTTTCACATTCTGAGATCGGCTCCATCCTTCCAGTCTCTGGGTTGAACCCAGGATCTCACAGGCATGACTTTCAGCCATATTTTCCTTCAGTTGTCACCTCCAGATTGCCTTCAGGATGGTCTGGACTAAACTCATCTCATTCTGGTTGGTTTCATGTCAGTCCATTACCCAGGAAACAGATCTCTTACAGAGCAGGGCTGGGTAAAACCCAATTATGTCTGGAACATAATTATGTCTGAGAACAAAGGAAAAATTCCCACACCAGGTTGCTCTTGATATTTTGCAAATTTGGGATGGGGCGTCATCACAATCACCATCCTCCCTGAATTCAGAGGTTCTGTCCTACCTGGGAAACAGGACAGGAAAGCCCTGTGTGAGGCCAGGTCCTCAACTTGACCAAAAAGACTTTTCTGCACAGACACTGTTTGTCCATGTTTATGCTGAGTTGCACACAGGAAGATAATGTATGCTTATAAAGTATGGAGAAATGTGTAAGTAATATAAAGATGAAAGAAACAATTTTGTAAAATATGTCTACAACTCCATCCTTGCTGAAGTTGTTGGCAGTAATAGTAACAAATTGTCCTTGTACTTTTACTGAAAGTGACATGATTAAAAAGGCTTCATTTTAAAGAAATCTTGATTTTGGCTGAGTGAGGCCACAGCCCAGGGCACATCTGCTGCTCCAAGGTTGTTCCAAGAGGATGCAGTGCAGAACTCAGACTCCTGGGGCAGATGAACCTTGTCACTAACCAAGTTTAGCAGAACTAAACTGGTCCAAAATCCCCCTGATCATTTTGAGTCTGGGTCGAATTCAGCTCACCACATAGTGTCTCTTGGCATCTGACGTGAGGTGTGAGTGGGTGACATCAGCTCCACCATGTTCCCCTTGTTCCCAAATGGTGACATTATTAATAACATCATCAATCTGTGGCCTCTGCACAGGACTCTTAAAGCCACCCATCAATCTTCCAAGGTAGCTTAGGTCAGTGCTGGTTGCTCAGGTTAAAATCCAGAGGCAGCACCACCTCCAGGGCTCTGGGATGAATCCATTCCCCACTTCTTTTGGCCATGTCCCTTCTCACCTTTGCCATGGCATATCACATGGCCCTGAGCCCTCTCTTTCCCTACTTGTAGGGACTCTGAGATGACATTGAGACACCTCCATATTGCCTGCTGACCCCACCCTATTTTAGGGTTCGCTGACCACAACACTTAACTCCCCTTTGTCTCACAGCTGACCACAATCTCAGGTTCTGGGGATCAGGACATGGACATGGCTGGGGTCTATTATTCTACTGAGCACAAAACCAATGGTGGTTTCCAGCCCTAGGAGGTAGGTGGATTCTGTCAACCATGTGGAATCACAGAGCACCCTGTCCACCCTCCCTCGCCCTGGACTCACGATGATCCCAGGGTAGTAGCCCCCCACCGTCACGTTCTCTGTCCTGGTGGTGGCAGCAAGGCCAATGGTCAGTATGAGGATGGACACCAGCAGCAGAGACCCCACGAACCACAGGGAGGTCTTCTTCCTCCTCGCGAACCCTTCTGTGAGAACAAGAGGACCGTTACTGACACAGGGTGGCCACAGATGCACTTTCTCGTTCCAGTGGCTTTCCCCACAACCTGGCAGCTCTGAAAGCCTCTGGAGAGCGCCACCCCTGCCCCCCATCAGCCCTTCAGATGCCAGCCCCAAAAAACCTCCCAGGCCACCCCCAGGCCTGTGGCCCCCCTCGCACTTTTAGGAGTCACTGGCCAGCTCCTGAACTCTACCTTCTGTATGTTCCTGGGCTGCCCCTGCCCCCTGACACACACACATCCCATCCCACCTTGCCCCTCAGATCCAGGTCTTGCTGCAGAGCCCCTCACCTGGAATCTTCCAGTCTGGGCTCCTGTCACCAAGTGCTCCTGTATTTATTCACTGGACATTGGTCCTACTGGCCTGCCCAGGGCATCAAGCCACAGTGTTCACACGTGGCTGAGACGTGGTCGAGGTGTGACTGGCTGGCCATCGAGGCCAGCAGAGCTCGTGTCCTATCTGTCCTGCCCTCCCTGGCTCTCTGAATCCTCTGAAAACTTCACCCTCATGTCTACGCAGCAGGAACCACACCCGGCCATTTACTGAGCACCTACTATCACCAAGCCCAGCCTGAACACCACAAACACAGGAACAGAACTGGATCCTTCTGAAGCCCACAGCCTGAAGGGGAGACCTGAGCCAGGTCCTGGACCAGGCTGAGTCTCACACCAAGAGCCTCGCTCCTCCCCTCCTGGACACCTGGCTCTGAGCACACCTAGCGTAAGCAAGTGCTCATCACCTGATACCGGGAGTCTCCTGTCTGCATCTGTCTTCCCCCAGCTCAAGGCCAAGGAGGGATACAGACAGGAGGCCTGCGAGAGAAGCAACAGAGTGCACTGAGTAGGACGCCCTGCTCTGCTCCTGGTTAGCACTGGGCTGCTGGGTATGCTCCAGTCCAGATGAAAGGCAGCCCCTGCCAGTCTCAGGCTGAGACCAGGCTCTGTCCAGGTGTCTATGGGGCCCCCAGGAACATCTTCAGGGAGCTTCCCCTGGCCTTTCTCCCCTTCATCCTGCCTCCTGTCTGGGATACAAATATAGAGGCAGAGGCCAGGGACCTTTCTGAGCCATGAAGGACTTGAGAACAGAAGCCACACATTAAGAATGGCGGGGCAGAGACTGCTGAGGGCCCTGCTTCTACATCTTGTCAGGGGACAAAATAAAGTCCCTGGACCTAAGCCACACCTAGAATGGTCAGGTACTTGCAGGCAAAGCAAACTCTAACTGCTGCGCAACTCACACAAACAAACAGAAAAGGAACCCTGCCCATTGCCTGTATCCTTTCCACCTGACTGTCCACCCTGGTGGTCTGGGGAAGACAGGCAGCTTCCATGAAGCTCTGTCACAGTGGCCATTTGCTAGCAAACACAATTGTCCCACCAAGGTGCTCAGCTCTGATGCAGCCAGGCCGTTTGACACTGAGTCACTCCAACCAGAACTGGGGAGGAAGAACCCCAGTGGCTCCCTCCTGCTCCAAAGTCTTGTCAGTCAATGCTTAGTGAATGTGAGGGCATGTGTGTGAGTGTTCACCTGTGCAAGCACGAGTGTACATTCAAGTACATGCTGAACGGAGAGGGAGCCCACATGCCTGAGTATAGTCCATCTTAGAAGGCTGCTGGGCCAGCACCCAAAGACTGTCACGCTCTGAGAGATCCACAGTTTTTCCATCCCAGCAGCAAAGCCTAAGCTTATAACACCAAGGAAGCACTACACACAAAGTCCACAAAGCCATGCATCATCACTCACCTTCACAGCACTCCGCCAAAGAGCCACTTTATCCAACTGACCCCGCAAGGGTGTCTCTCCCAGGGAGGACAGGAGGACACAGCCCGTACCACACACCACCACCTTCCTTCAGACACAGGGCAACAGGCTTCTTCTGAGACTATCATCCTAATCACACCTTGCCCCTGGAGGGAATCTGATTCCCACTCAGAAACAACAAACCGGCAGCTCCCAGCAGCTGGCAAGGATTTCCCTCAGTCTCGACCCAGCTACTGCCGTGGCCCTTAGGTCCTCGAGTGATGGCGGGAAAGGCTCTGTTGACCAGAAAACATGGCCCATGTGGTGATGTTGTCTGTGAGGCACTGCAAGCCTTGGTTTCATCTCAGATGTAGCATCAACACCCTCACACACACTCACTCACTGGCTCCCCACTTCTGCCTCCTGCAGAGGCAGGTTTATTTCCAGTGTCCGCAGGGCCCTTGCACCTGCCTCAGCTCACCTTTAGGGCCTTCCTTAAATGTTACCTGCAGACGTGCTATGCAGGTGCACATGCACACAAACGCACACACACACCTCTCCTTAGTCATTCACTCATTCACTCCACAAACACTTAACTGAGCCTGTACCACAAGCAGGAGGCTCTAGGTGTCAGATGTGCCTCAGTGAACACAAGGTGAACCTGTCTCCCCTGCCCCCAGGAGCTTCCATTCCCAAGAGACGAGGCCGACATACATACACAGGTCAAGCACCCCATATGGGGTGTTAGAAAGTGCCATTTTCAGTGGAAGAAAACTAAGCAAGGCCAGGGAGAAGAGCCTGTGTGAGGTCCGGCAAGCCAGCCAGCCAGGTGACAGTCCTGAGGGGAGCAGGTGGGCAGCTCCCAGGCAGAAGGAAGGAGAGCCAGGAGAGGCCTAGAGGCGTTCAGTCGGGAGGGGATTCCACTTTTTCTGCCTTCCTCACCCCACTAGATGTCCTGTGGGAACAAGCTCAGAGGAAGAGGGATGGGCTGAGTGAAACCGTCCTGGCGGTTCTGCAGGATGGCCATGGGGGACACGGGTGTGTGTGGCCTTCTGGGGTACTGATGATGACACTGCTCTCCTCAACCATAGCAGGCCCTTGTTTCTGCATGGTGCCCAGAGCATCACCAAGAGCTGGACTCTTACCCAGACTGGACACAGCCTAGAGAGTGGGGCCACCTGGTCCCAAGAGGCATCTGCAGAGACAGCCCTCAGGCCTCCTTCAGCTCCCAGCCCTGCCTGCAACTTCCATTACCCATTCCTCCGAACTCCCCCCACATCTCCCATCATGTCTGTGAACTGAAAGCCAGTCCTAACTGGGGCTAGAAAATACTACACAGGTGGTAACGACACTGTTACAAGGAAAAGGAAGACTAAGTGTTATACAAAAAAAATCAGGATTTTTTTTTCTGTTCATAAAAGCAATGCTATTTTTTGTAGAATATTTGTAAGACACAAGAAAATACAAAAGAGACAATAAAACTCATAGCAATGTCACTGCCAGTTAACAGCAGGAATGTCTCTTTCCAATGTACTTGTGCGCTTTTTAAGCATTTTTTCTTAAACTGGGATTAAATGTTTTATAATCTTTTTTTTTCACTTAATCCTTGTAATTTGTTTGAAGTCAATGCTAAGTGCACAGGGTACTTTGTGGAGAGTCAGACAACTCCACTGTGAGTGGGTCAGAGAGGAGAGAGAGCACCTCGGAGTTAGAGTCCAGCTGGGGTGGTAGGATTTAGATTAGGCAAGGATTCAATGTGTCCTGTTCTACCTTGTGGAAGGTGAGGAAACTGTTGATCACATGGGCGGGGGATGTGAGTGACAGGATTGTTTCCCAGAGTTCTCTGACCTACCTCATCAGAGGCTGGCCTCTCCAGCCTCCCAGGTCACCCTCTAGCCCGGTAGCACCTATGAAGGTGGCCAGAGGCCAGCTGCTCCTCCTGGAAAGAGTTTCCTGTATGGCAATTCTTCCTTGACCACTTTTTCCCTTGGCCTCCCATTTTAATCTTTTCATTGTTTAAATGTTTTAGGAGCAATAAGACTTCTATAACTGAATTTTGTGGACTAAGAATCTGAGAAAATTATCAGACAGATGCTCTCCTCAAAGGATTTCCTTTTCTCTTTTTCCTAATTAAGTGCACTGCACACCAAATATGGTCAAAATAACTGACCAAGGATCCAGCATCTGCTTCAGACTCCGGGTGGACTCTTCCTGGAAGCCATTTCCGTGCCTGTGGTGGGCACCTGCTGTCTGCACCCTGGACTGTGTCCTGCTCTGTGTTGGCTTGTCAGCGTGATGAGTGGGTCTGGTGAGACCCTAAGCTGATGGCACTGGGTCAGCCCTTGTTCAGCCAGCAGCATTCTGACTTGCAATCACTGAGCAAAAAGTCAGACTCCTCCCATGAGCCTTTCCAACATGGCTTTGCCCTTTGGCCCTATTTCCCAGGTCTGACTTTTCCCCAAACTGCTACATAATGAAAACCAGAGTGCTCAAGCTGTGCGCTATCCATCCCAGTTCTCAGGTCAGGCAAGGGTTGAAACCAGCACATGTTATGTGGCACTGGACAAGAACCAATAAGTGATATTCTAATGACCCAGACAAAAAGAAGTGTCAGCCTTACGTACCTTCTATAAATACTTATACCATAGGGTGTAAAAGTAAGGAGACGAAAAGCAAACTCAAGACAAGAAAGAAGGCAGGATATCTTTGAAATTGTCAGTTACATGCATTTTAGGTCAGGTTTTGGAAGAAAAGGGGTGTCACAGATGAGAGATGCATGTGGTTCCTGATCCCTTCCCTCCTTCTCCAGCCCTGTTATTAGCAACCTTGTTCTATGTGCCTGATGAACTCAGACACCTGTGGTGAGATTTCAGCGCTGGTGAACCTGGGCAGCCCACACCTCTGGGCTGACGCCCACTGCCCGGCTCAGATCTGAGATGCAGGCACAGCCTGGTGTTGGGTGAGCAGAAGGACTCCGGTTCCCTGGAGATGGAGAGAGGTGGGGATGGAAATGAAGATGACCCCTACCACCTCTGAGACTCCTGTAAGGATCCAGAGAGGCCATCTGCGAGCAGACTAGTGACTGTTTTATAAACGTGGCAGATCTCATTGCTATTGTGGCTGGTGTTTGCTTCTGGAAGACCAGGCGGCCACATTTAACCAGTGTTTCTCCAATGGGGGATTGCAGAGTTCCTGAGCTGCTGACAGCTATTTCTCAGCTACTTGCTTAGTGTTCCCGCATCTAGTTTGTCCGCAGGTGCATCCCACCCAGAATACCTCAGCACATCACCTGGTCACTTCCCACCCACCCCCATCCCCACACTTCTGCTTTCCCTCCCCCACCCCTCCCAGCCTCAGCTGGAACTGCTGACCAGGTATCTGCAGTTCTACCTGGACCACCTGCAATGTGTAAGGATGGACAGCACACCCATCACTGCCCCAGACTGCGTCCTTCACTTAGGAGGGCCAGGAAGGGAATGTCACAAAGCCTGGACGTAGCACCACTTGGCAGGGCTCCACATCATGGGCTCCCTGCAAGCAGGGCTCTTGCACCCAAAGACAGTTTAGCCAGTTGGAAGACAGATAAGGGTGTGCACCTGTGAACCCAGGAAGAGGCAGAGGGATCACTTGAGCCCAGGCGTTCAAGACCAGCCTGTGACACCCTATCTCAAAACAAAGACAAAACACACACCACATGGGCATACCCAGCTGCAGAGGCAAGTGGTACCCAGGTGGCACAAGTCAGGGCAGAATACATGCCATTGGGTTTGTTCTGATTTACACGTAGCACTGCCCAGAATAGTAAACAAAGAAGTAGGAAGTATGAAATACCCACAGCCCTATCTCAGCCACACCGATCTATTATTTTATAATAAAACACCAAATCCTAGTATTGTGTTTTAAAGTTTTGAGTCCTTATCAAAAGAAAAAGCTGTCAAGAGCTATTTTTGAACCATCAAGTTATTCTAGTATAATAACAATAAAAACTAATTAATAAATAAATGTAAATAGTTGTTATTTTTAGACACTAGTAAAGTAATGGAAACACATATGAATCAGTTCGACCCCAGGGCATTTATAGTGACAAGTATGAGAAAGAAGCCAGATTTCTTAATTATTATTTAACAACACTAGCCAATCTAGTTTTTAAAGAGATTTTTCAAAAGTGCGCTGATAAGAGCTGAGGCTGGTGGCCAGTGGTTCTAGGGTTGGTTCTGAAGAAGCAGCCTTGCAGCTGGGCATCACCCATCCCTGGATCTCTCCACCTGGCTATCAGAGCATCACCTAGGGGTGCCCAGTCTTTCCTTCCTAAAATCTCCCCTGCCTCTGCCCTTCAGGAAAAGCACCCAGCCTCTCTCCAGGCCTGGCCACTTCCTCCCTCAAGATTCCTGTTTTCCTGACCCACCTGATTTGAGAAATCAAGCAATCAGAAATTCCGTGAATGAGGCAAGGTGGGTGGGAGGGATGTGCTTGAACCAACAGCACTGTGAACCCGGGAAGCAGCTTGTCCACTTGCAAGAAGGAAGGAGCTACCTTGGTTCTTAGAAACAAACTTTTGGAGACTGAAACAAGTAGGGTAGAAAAGCTGGGGTGGTTGTGCAGGTTGGCCTGTCCCAAGTATAAATATCACGGTTCGTTACTCACAGAGTTAGTGTGAGGAGAGATAGACACAAAGCCAGAGGACACAAAATCAGGGGTGTCCTGACAGAATGGATGGGTGGTAGATGGACGGTGAAGGTAGGGGTGGATGGATGACGGACAGAGGGATAGACAGACGAATGGATGGGTGGGTGGTGGCCAGATGGATGACTGTCCTGTGCCAGTACAAAGTCCCAAAGACCAAAAGGAATGGGAAGTATTGCCGCCCACCCCCCCCACCCCGCTCCCCGCCAAGTCCTCCCAGTAGTTCCCCTTCTGCTCTGGCTGGGATCCTTCTATCCTGGCCCAGACCCCACATTCCCTGCAATTCCCCTGCCCCCGGGAGTCTGAGAGGACACAAGTCACCCCCAGCTCACCTGTGGTGTCCAGCAGAGCCAGAGGCCCGGGGACAGGCTGTGGGAGCGGCTGCATCCCAGAGGCAGAGATTGCTAAGAGCCCTCAGCGGCTTCTCCTCCTCTCTTCCCGTGTGCAATGACAGCGACAGTCCAGTCCTGGGCAGTGTGGTGGCTCCAGGAGCAGCAGCCAGGAGCACCGCCTTGCCTCTCTGCTCTCCAGCCCCTCTCTAAGCATCCTGTGCTTTTTTCTCACCACTCCCTTTGCCCTCCTCTCCCCTCGGCCCCCTCCCTCCTTTCCTTTTCCTCCTCTGTCCTCTTCTGCCCTCCCCTCCTCCCTCCTCTGTCCTAAGTCACTGCCCCGCCCCTTCTCTCCTCTGGTCCCTCCCTCCACCCCTCCCTCCTGTCCTCCTCCCCCTCCCCACACTGCTAATCTCCTGGACTCCTGGCTCCTGGAAATCAGAGTCCAGGGAAAGGGACTCAAGCTCCAGCATTCTCTGCTGCTCCTGCAAGAGAACACAGACCTGACCAGACGAGGAAAATACTTGGAGAAGTCCTGCACCCCACAACCTCCCTCAGAGTGTGGCCAGGCAGGCATTGAATAGCTCTGGTGTAGGGATGCAGACCAGGGTCCTCCTGCTGGTGCCGGCTCAGCTCGTGGCTGCTCTTGGGTTTCTTCTTCTGTTTGCAGAGGGCAGCAGTGAACAGCATTAAAATTCACACATTCTACAGCCACTTTGCACCACATGATGTGGAGCTGTGGCTTCTGACACGCTTCTGATGCCTCCTCCTCCTCCACATTTTTTATCCATAGCACTGAAGCGGTTCTGGCCCCTCTCTAAGGGACATGGGGGCTGGGTCACTGGAGAGTCCACTGGAGGGTAGCACGAAGGGGGCAGAGAGGACTGTTTTAGATCATGATCCAGTGAGTAGTAACAATGACTTGACCAGGATGGGAACGTGCAGGTGACGAGATGTGGCCAGACCAGCTTCACACTGTGCCAGAACACAAACACCATAGATAGATGCCATGGACACTGTGATCAGTACATAAATGCGTGGATTATGTCTGTAGAGACAAATGCCATGAACCATATGAACCGACATACAACGCCATGAATGACATGTCAGTACAGAAACGCCTGAGTTAAGCGTGCAGATCTGGAAGTACCACGAGCTATGTCTGTATCGGTGCTGAAATGCCACATAAGGCAGCAGAACACGAGCTGAGGGAACATGTTCTCCATCCGAACTGTGGACAACTGTGTGGGGGAAGCAGGGTGGCTTTGACACTACCTCAATTTCTTTTAGAAAGCTAAACTACTTGAAAAAACATGGCAAAATGCTTAGCTATCATTGAGGCTAGATGGTTATTATGGGGATGTTAGACTCTTCTCAATACTTTTATGGGTGTTTGGAATAATCTACTTTTTTAAAACTTCATTTTTTAAAAAATTTTTACCAGCATGCTATCACTGGCCAAGCTTCTTGACAGCTGATTCATGATAACATATCTAATAACTGGCGTGGTCCCTGGTAAAACGTGAATGAATCAAGTGAAATAAAATGCACAAGAACACAGCATTTTTCTCTTTATAGGCCATGTTAAGGAAACTTATTTGCTGGGCTGAGCGAATGGGTTCTAAGGTAAGGAAATAACAGTGATGTCTCCCCTTGCCCTTTGTGCAGTCTTGCTGATTTCTAAAGCAATATCAGCATTGAATGAGGAGCCTCTGCCTGTGGAACCCAAAAAGAAGGGAGGTATGTTGTGAGATTTATTTTTCTCAAGATCCCCTTGTGTTAATTTCTATTAAGGACACTATTTTGATATAATTTCAAGCTTAAAGACAACTATGAGGAGCTGAGGAATAGCTCAGTGGTTGAGCACTTGGATAGCATGGGCCAGGCCCTGGGTTTGAGTCCAGCCCTGAAAAAAAAGAACAATCATAAGAATAGTGCAGGGAGCTCCTGCATGGCCTCCATCCAGATTCACCAGTTGCTTGCAGGACAGGAAGCTCTTGCTTTGCTCTGTGTGGTTGAGCTGTGGCCCCGAGTCCAGGCCCCCTCCCAGCCTCCAGCTCAAGAGCAGCACACTGACTTGTGTGTGTGATGCTGACAGAGCTAGGGAGAGCCTGTTCAGGAGGAGAAAAGTTCTTCCCACTAAATGTGAGGAGGTTACAAAAGGTCCAGATCAGGTCTCACTCCTGAGGCCTGCACAGGGACTAGCCTTCCCAGGGCTGCCTACACAGGTCCAGCCCCTCACTTGCCTAGTTTTCCTTTCTCTGCTCCCCCATGGATACCCAGTTTCTGCCTTTGGCTTTGTCCACTCTCCCACCTACTTCCATGACCAGGAGACCAAGGCAACCACCCCAGGCTGGCACTGACAGCTCAGCTACCTACCTGGTGGGTGCTGACAGACCCAGGCGGGGGGGTTTCACTGCTTTGCAGTTTTGAAGGAGCCCAGGCCCTAGTCGTGAAGCAGACGTGGAGACAGATGGCTCTGAGGAAAGGCCAAGAAGGGGCAACCTGACCAGCTGTGAACAGAGGCAGACAGAACAGGCAGGTGCCATGCCTTGAGGCTGTGGGAACCAGAGAGGCTCTTCCTGGTTGCCTGAGCCTGGAGCTTCAGGAAGACACAAGTGTTTTACAGAACCAGCCACAGTCAGACTCCCCCAAGTCTGAAGGCTCAAATGGCACATCAACAATTCTACCAGCCTCTTAGAAAAATTCTCCCAGACCAGACGCACTTCTCGGCTTTCCTTTTGGGATCAGCAGATTCCCTGCAGCACCAGCCCAAACACAGCCATCAAATCTGGATGAGCCATCAGATCTGGCACTGCCAGACGTAGACTGCACAAATCCTCCAAGCAAACTTCTAGAAGGAAGCCAGTAAGTTCATTGTGACTAAGTCTGGGGCTGACCCGTCCTTGGTCTTAGAAACCCTACACTCACAGACTAGGAGGCGCTTATGTTCTGCCCAGAAGCTCTGAAACTTCCTTCAGAGGGCCTGACCCTGGTTGCCAGCATCAAATGGCCTAGATGCATCAATGATGAGTTGTGCTAGGAGCAGGGGGATGTCCATGAAGCCAGACATCCCCCCAGGAGGTCCCTAAAGTGCCTCCGTGCCCTCACAGAACCAGGATGCTAAGAAAGCAGTTTCCAAAGAATGGAATCCAAACATAGGCCACACAACCTTCCTACGCGGGCAAAGGTGAGAGATGGTAATGGCAGCTGCACCCCACAGATTTCAAGATGCATCGCGGGGCCCAGACACACAGATGGACCCAGAGCCCAGCAAGGACAACGTGCAGCATCCACACCCAAACACTGCCCCTCAGGGCTGGAAGCCAGTGCCTCAGCACACAGAAGATGCCCCCAAAGATGCAAAGCTTGACGTGGGAATGGCCACAGGACCCGAGGCCAGAGGGGAAACACGGGACAGGAGCAGATCTCAGCCCCTCCAAGTCTGCCACCTGAGGCCAAGTGGGAAGAAAAGCCCACTGCACAGTTACGGCTCTCAGCTTCTGTAGGAGGACCTGGGCCTCATAAAGAGAACCCTGCCTGCCTCAGGAACAGCCACACATGTGTACGGAGACACAGAGACAGGCATACACATGCAGACTCACATAAGCACACATAGACACAGGTGGGTTTACACACACGCGTGTTACCTCGCATGCTGGTGGCAGGGTACACAACTACTTAGAAGATAGTTGGATGTCATCCACGGAAGGTGAAGAGGTGTGCCATACCTAGTGGTCTCACTTCTAAGTGCCCACAATGGGCACCAAGCTCTCCTTAGAGAATGCTTATAGCAGAGTTGTCACAATCTGCCACCTGTAAAATCTGTAATTTCACAAGAAACAATGGAGGATACCCAACAGTGAAAAGCTGCATGATGATATAAAGGTGTAAGCTATGACCACATGCAGCAACAAGGATGGGTCAGAGCTGTAAGGTCTATTGGAGGTCAGTGGAAAGAACACAGGGGACATGACTTATTCATAAACGAGGAACTCCATACAGTGTTTCAGGATGTAAGCTTAAGGGGAAAACTGAATTTCTTAGAAGCTGATATACATACATTTGGAGGGGAGAGAGGTGACCAAATGTCCTGGCCCCAGGATTATGGGGTTCCTGATACAGCTCACTGACAAAAAGACAACCCAGCTAAAAGATGGACAAAGGAGCTGAACAGTTGTTTCTCTAAGGAGGATGTCGGACATCCAATAAACACATGAGAACACACCCAACGCCGTCAGTCATCAGGGAAATGCAAACCAAAACTACAGAGAGAGAGTTGGTGCAGTGGCTCAAGTGGTAGGGCGTCTGCCTAGCAAGCATGAGACCCTCAGTTCAAACCCCAGTGCTGCCAAAAAGAAAAAAAAAACCCTTACTATGAACTTCCCATCCTCCAGAACTATAAAGAAATAAATCTGTTTAGAAAAAAACTACAAAGAGACACACACTTCACAGCCAGTGGGCGGTTACAATAAAAAAGAAAGTCAGGTGCCAACAGTGTGGTCAACAGTGTGGGGAAATTGGAAGCCCCGTTCACTGCTGGTGGAACGCGCAATGTGCCACCACTTTGGGAAAAGTCGGGAAGGTCCTCAAATGATCAAATGTTGCAACAATTCCACTCCTAGGTTATACCCAGAAGAAAGGAACACATACACCCATGAAAACGTGCACTCAGACGTTTACAGCAGCATTCGTCTTAACAAGCCCAGATGTGAAAGTGATTCCATGTCCACCAGCAGGCAAGCGAATAAGCAAAATGCAGTCTGTCCCCACACTGGACCATTAGCACAGAAGGGGCATGCCCTGAGATGGGTCATGGCACTGATGGACCTCAAAACCTTGTGCCAAGGGAGAGACGCCAGACTCAGAAAGTCCCGAGTGTATCACGCAGCTCCCGTCCTGTGAATAGGAAGCAAATCAGTAGTTGCTTAGGTTAGGGGAGAGGGCACAGGAGTGGGGGGAGAGTAAGGAGTTTAAGATTCAGTGAAAATACTACACAACCACATGGTGGTGACTACACGTGTCTGTGAGTATTCCTAAAGTCTCCGGATTTTATACTTCTGACAGGTGACCTGTGTGTTATGTGACTTACATCTCATCAGAGAGGCAGATCCAGAGGCTGCACTCTGGTGGCAAGA